TCTAATAAATAACTTGGTTTAATCATCTTTTTTAATTTAAAAACACTAATATTAAAACTATCTGTAGGCATTAGTGAAGGATTATAATCTCTTACAGTATTATCAATCAAAGATGTTTATAATAATAAATCTAGAATCTTGAAATGATATAAAAATGGTTCATCTCTATAACAATCTTTCCAATCTATAGCTTCAAGTTATTTAATTAAATTGTCTTCAGGATCTAAATATTGATCATCAAAATAAAATCTAAGATCTTTTTATTAACTTCCTTCTGCATATAATAATCTTTATTCTGTTTCTTTTAATGCTCTCATAGGTAAGAAAGTATTTAATATTAAAATTTAATTATCTAATAAATATTATCCTCCAATACTAATTAAATTTATTAATCTAAATGAATATTAATATATAATTTACATATCAATGAATTTAACTTATCTTCCTTCTCTTTCTATAATATCAATTAATCGTGATACCAAAGATTTAACTCCAGTATTTAATAATCTTGGATTGTCTCTGAAAATTTCAATTAAAAGTTTACATTATCCTACATCATATTATATATATTATAAATATATTTCTAAATATTAATAGAGTATTAATTGATTTCCCTTATTATTTGTGCAATAACAAATAAGAAATTTAAATGAATTCTAAAATAATTATAATAGTTATTCTTTTCTTTATATTTTAATGAATTCATCATTCAAAACATAAATAAAATGTGGCATACCATTTTAAATTAGATTAACAATAATTTCATGAATTTTGAGAAATGTCATTATTGATTATTTTTCAGAATCATTAATCTCTTTATTTACTACTTCTACAATAAGTTCATGATCATGATTGCGATCATTAACTTAAACTCCTTATCTCATACATAAAGTTAGTTAACTAATAATTTGAGAACATTTATCAAGTTCTTCAACATCATATCCAGCCTTAAATTAAGTTAACCAAATTTCTGTCTTCTCAGCCATAATTCTTAAATCTTTTTGTAAATTTTCAACAAATTCATATATTTTTATATTATCATCATCAAATAAGATTTATAACTTTTTCATATTTTCTCTTAATTCTTCTCTTTAATTGAATACTCTCATAATAACATTAAGACATCTTTCTTCTAATACTTAATCTTTAACCAAAAAATAAGTAGACATCAAATATGGTAATAAACTTGCTACTTGTTTTTCTTTTAATTAATCTTCATTCAATCTTTCATTATTATCAAATTTTTAAGCTTAACTCAAATAATAATCTAATTCTTAAAATTCATCTTCTGATCTAATTTTATAAAGATGAAAATAATTAATAAATGTAGGTGGTGGTTTCTTAATACTCATTGATATAAAATCTTATGTTGTATCTTCAGGGTCATCAATTTCATCAATTCCAGTTCTAGCAATAGTTGGTATTAATGTTGTATAATTATTATTAAATATTTTAGGTGCTGCCTTAATAGTTTAATCATCTTCTTCATCAGATAAATCATCATTTGTATATTAATATTTAAAGAAGAATATTAGAATATTAGAAATTAAAAAATTTTATCTTCTATCTAAAAAATGATCTAGAATTGAACATACTTTTAATTTAAATTCAATTTCTTACTATGATTTTGGTAAGGATATCATCCCTTCCAATTAATTACTCATTGCCATAAATCCCTTCATAATTGGATTCAAAAATAATTTAGGTTAATCATATAAATTAATTTCTTCATCTTCTTCCTCCTCTGCAATTTATTCTTTATCTTCTTCTTTAGGTTAAATTATATTAAAAACATTTCCAAATTAATTAATAACTATACTTTTTTTATTTTTTCTTTCATTTACAGTTTATTAATAACTTTTAATTGCAGCATTTAAATAATCAAGATTCTTTCTATCATAAATAAACATCTCTGACATATATTTAATTATTTTTTTATAATACTTACTTGGCATTATATCTAATTATAACATAATTAATATTTAATCAGCAGCATTATATATTAATTCATCATTTAATAAATCACTAGATGCATGACTAGCTATTGCATTATATACATCACTTCTTTTAGATTTTATATATTTAAACATTTTTTTTAATTTAAATTATTTCTCAATTTCTTCATCATTTCTATTTTTCAATTAGTCTTAATAAGGTAAATACAATCTACAAAAATTAGGAACAATTAAAAATTAAAATGGTTATTAATCAATATATAAAGTTCTACTTAATCTACACCAATATGATCTTAATTTATCATCTATTTAATTACCATCATTCTCATTTGGATTCCAAATTTAATTTATTAAAATATCTTTCTCAAATAATGGACTTAATTCTGCTTACCATAAATAATTTCTACCATAAGAAACTTCTGAAAAAAATTATAATAATTCATATTAAAAAGAGATTTCCTTATCTATTATACATCCATTATTAGTTTCAATTTACAATAATTTAGTTTGTTTATTATATTTCTTATACAATTTGAATAAATTTTCTTAATTGATACTAATGGCAATATTTTTATATCTACATATATGTCTTAGAAATCTTAAATAATGTTCATTGTTTTTTGCAGTATCATCAATAATCAAATTGAAAAAATATTATATTATATTGATTGGTCTAGTAATGATACGATCATGAATCTTTACAGGTATTGAAACATCCTATTATAGTCCAGCATCTTTTTCATAGAAATTTATTAACACTTTAACTTTGTTTTTAAGATCATCTTCAATTTCTTATTTCTTTATATAATCAAATTCAATTTTTAAATTGTTACATAAATTGATTAATATTTTCTCATTACTTTTTACCATCTCAATTAAAAAATTAATTGTCTATGGAAGATATTTACAATAATGTTAATAATCAGGTAAACGTTCAAAAAGATAAAGTTAATTATTTGTATTATTTATTACACTAGTTTGTAATAAAACAAATATCATATTACAAACTTCAACTTTTGAATTAGATAATTCTAATTTATCTTTCTCAGATATGCTTTATATTTATTTTCTTTGATTTTTTTCAGTTATTGATGGTTATTCTAATGCTTTGAGAGTTCCTTTTTTATTTGACCATATATCTAATTCTTATTTAGTGACTGTAGATGTAAGAATTTGTAATAATACATCAAAGAAATGTTGATCTTTTAACAGTTTTTATCTTTTTGGAGATATGAATCCATATTTTTAAGATGGACTTGAATTATATATCTTTTATCTAAGAAAGTCATCTAAATTTTGAATACATCTTTAAGCAGTGGCTAATTTTTTAGTTTTTATTTTTAATAAATCTACATCATCTGATAATGATTAATACATTTAATTTTATTCATATTTAAAAGGTAAATTGATATAAAATTAATACTTTCTTAATTATTTTGTACATGAATCTAAAAATAATACTTCTTAAGTTTCTTATTTATTTGCTCTAAATATTTTAAAAACTGCATGTTCATTCTTTTAATTTAAAATTATTGGTCTTAATGTATTTTCATCTTAATGAAATTTATTAATAACATCTAAATATTTTCCTTAAGCAACACTTCTAATTTATATAAAATCAGATTAAATCTCATTTTTATTTACTGATTTTAAAGGTTCAAATCTAAATAAAGCATCCTTATTTGGTTGAACTTATAATGCAAAAGTAGCAGGTACCTTCTTACTTTTTGGTATAACCACTTTCTTTTTTCCATATGGATCTACTTTAATATCTTCTTATTCTTTTGGAATAACTCTAACACAAGCTAAATATAATCCAGTATGAAAGTGTTTCAATCTATAATTATTAGAATATAAATAAGGTCCTCCTTTTTTATAATCTTCATCTTCAATTATCCATAATGAATATGCATTTCCACTATAATTATCAAAAGATAATTCACTTAAATCTGTTTAAAATACAGATATCTTAGCTCTATTTAAATCTCTTTCATAATCAACAGCCAATTATGAACATGTTTCAGAATGATGAATCCATACTAAATCACCATCTATAGGTAATTCTTCAGAAAATAAATTAATTTTCCAAGATGTTGATTCTTCAAGTGATGCATTAATTTCTCTCTTTTATATCTTTACTTCACTATTTTCTCTATATTCTTTAATTGCTTTTTATGGTATCTCACCTGAACAATGTAAATAAGTTGGTTTTCCAAGAAAAGGTATCATTCGCATAATCCTAACAATTTCTTATGAATATACTATTTGATCTCCTTCTTTTTAATATTTATAAGTGGCCACTATTTTAAATAGAGTTTCATCACTTGTATAATCACTTAAAGCAAGTTTAAAATTTTAATTTTCAAATTTAGCTTCATCTAATAATGAACATAACCATTTAGATGATGCTAAATGTAATAATTAAATTGGCTCTTCATATTTAACATAATTGCCTTTCTCTTTATCAAAACCATCTACATTAAATTTAAATTCATTAAACAAATTCATTTGATTGTCTCTTACTTACTTCTCACTCAATAATGGTTGCACTGAATGTGTAACTGATTTAATCTATTAATTAATATAACATTATAATACTTATGATCTTACAGGTGTCACCTCACTTTTTTGATCAGTTACATCATCATTTATAGATCCAAACAGTTTCTTCTTTTTTGAAGGAAAGAGTTTCGCAACTTCTACTTTCTTTCCATTTGATGTTCTTGGACATACTACAAATAAACAATTTGGCATACTAATATAATAACTAATGATTACTTCATTTGACTAAAATAGCTAATGTTAAAATCTTTAGTGTCTAATTTATTTAAAGGTGACATGCCTTTTAGTATTACAGCACTACATTAGTGTTTTATTAATACTTTTTTATGAATCCATCTCCTCCTATTAGAGCATCATCATCTTATAAATGAGAAATACTCACAATTGACCCTATTTTGATTATTTCCATTTATTTTATTATAATATACTTAGAATTAAGAGAATAATATTAAAAAATAGTCATAAACAGAATTATTAATAAAGTCAATTCTATAATTGTAAGATTAAATATTAGAATAGTTAAGCAATTTTAAGAGAATGCTTATTCTTATTTTTTTGAATTTCTAAATTTACTTTAATCAAATCCTATTTTAATTATTCTATTCTTTTTTGACTTTGAGTTTATATTAATAATGTACAGATTTCTAATCCTGCATAACAATATCTTCTAGTACATTTGCACATTTCATCAAAATCCCTCAGTAAATTAATTTCATAGGATAATAGATATTAAAATTTTCCAATTAATTCAGATAATGTATGTTAATAAATCTATACTTTGCAGAATTTTTAATGATTATTATTTTAATTGTTATAATTTTTGACAAATTCTTTACAAATATTGCAAAAAGTGTATTAATAATCATCTGACATATTTTATAATTTAAGTTCAGAAATATTAGGATTCCAATTTGAATGTTATTAATATTAATAATAATCATAATGTCTATCTAAATATGATTAAATATTAAATATTTCTGAATCACATCTGCTCTATTGTAAACTACATTATACTTATATTGTTTCTTATTTAATTGGGTTATCTGCAGTTTATATACCTATTGATGATTTCGGTTATAAGAAACTTGCTGATAGAATCTAAACTTTATTTTCTTTTTAAATTATAAAACTAGTTTAACAAATTTATTCTTATTATTGTTATTTGATATTAGATTATTACAAAAGAGATCTACCATTATCATGAAGTCTTTTGAAAATTGGATTAATATTAGGTAAGGGATCAAAAATTCTATTTTTATTTCTTTTTTAAGTATATGATATAGATATTTCTTTTGGTGTTTAATTTAGATCCATAAATTAATTTTCTTTTTATATTTTTATGCATTCTTCATGAAAAGATGCAACTTCTGAAGGTTTTCTTGATGAATTTAATAGAGATCTAAGAGATTATTATTCAGTTAAAAATATAGTTCCTTCTTATGGTGTTATTGGCTAATTAAATCTTTATTCTTCAATTTAATCGTACATTTCTATAAACTTTTATCTTAATCCTTGTTTATATTTCTCTAAAGGATCTTTATTTAAAGACACAAATCTAGAATTATTAGTATATGTAGATTAAGATTAATTCATTCGTTTATTTCTGTAAAAATAAAAATAAATATAAATTTTAAATCAAAATCCAAAATTTTTATTAGTGCTTTAGAAATTACTATTATTATGTACAGAATTAAATGACTTATTTTCTGAATTAACTTCTACTACATGTAACTCAATACGAAAATCTTTTTAAAATGTTTTTCCTGATTTATCCTTTGATAATAATTTAAAATACTTTACAAGCTTTATCGAGCATAAATTTATCAATCATTAAAATACCTGTATAATCAAAGAAATCACAATTAAACCATGCTTAAAATAACTTTTGATTGCTTAAATAATTTATTGATTTATATACCTTGATAAGAATCCTTAATTCAAAAATTATAACATCACATCCCCTTGTAATATAATGTCTTTTAATTTAAATTCTATATATGGTTCTAATTTATATTCTTTTACAGAGAATTAATTCTTTGATGAATACTCTTTATCTTTATTCTAAATACGAAACCAAGGACCACAACCACCAAAAAAATTTACATTTGGAACTGGTATCACTCGAATTTTTACAAGTTCTACTTATTTATTTGGCATATCATTAGGTACCCATTTATTATTGAGAGCCTTCTCAAAATAAAAAATATATCGAATTTATGAAGGAATGGTTACTCCCTATAATAATATAACTTTTGTTATTGTACTTTCTTATTTTTCGTCCTAATCATTCCATAGTACCTCATTGAATCATATGCATTTGTAAATTAACGAGCATATAACATATAGCAACAAATCATCACACCAGTTCGACCCTTTGTTATAATACTGAAATACTTTTCCAGCTTTGCAATGTATTCCAGCCACATTCTTTTCATGTAATTTTAACCAATAATCCTATAATAATATATAATATTTATACCAAATCTAAACAAAATTCATATATCAATGAAAATGTTGGAGCCTAATGATCTTAAAAAGGAAACTCTGCTACTTAATTAAAATTTGAATGATCATATTTTCTTTCTTCACAAAGATTGTACACTTTATAGTGTCCAGGATGTACAGAATCAAAAAATCTTCTTACATCTTACATTGAGTTTCTATAAATTGATTCAATATTCTCAGCTGGAAAACCCATTGCTATTATCTTTTCAGTAATATCTATAATTAATAAACAATAATACAAGTTAGATCTAAATTAAATCCATTATAATTATATCTTCTCTTTTATTTTGAAACTAACAATTTTATTGGATTAGGTACACTAGTTATATTTTAGTGATTTCCACTAATATGTTGATTTACCTGATTGACTTCCTATTTTAGTTGCTGAGTACTAACTCTCTCTCTTAAATTTATTTCTTATCCTTTTTGATCCTCTTAAACAATCCCATAAGTTAATGCTGCCAAATCAACTTAAGACATTAAAAAATTATAATTTTCTGGATCACACTCTTCCTCTGAATCTGATAGTATTTCCTCCTCTCCTGAAGAAATTTCATTAAATTTAGCTCTCTATTTTAGTTCCTCTTATGTTGCACTACGCATATTAAATAATATATAATCTAAAAATGTATTAATATTAATTTTACTTATATCATAATATTTTACTTATATATCTAAATCCCATTAATCCCATAATTTTCAATCTTAGTCTTTCCTTTTTAAAATCCTTTATTTAATCTTTATTATACATTATATAATTTATTTTCCTAAATCATAATTCTTACTTTTATTTATAGATATAAAGCATCAGACATAGCATATCCGAAGATTTAAATTATTACTCTCTATTAAATTAAATACTGCTTTCTCTATTTAAATTAATTTTAATGATATAGGATGAAAATCATGAAATTTAATTAATAATTTAGACTTTTTTATTGTATAAAAATTAATAAATATAAAGATTAAAGGAATTTCAATTATTTCCTTATCAAAATTAAATAATCTAAGTTTAAATCAATACAACTCGATCTCAACTTAATAATTATCAGTATCTATATAATATAATTTATCAAATCTCTTATTGATGGTGTTTCATATAAGATATTTACAACTTTTAGTTTGGATATTTAGTAAATTATTTGTTTAATCATATTAGAACAAATAAATTCAAGTTTAAAGCTATCGTAATCCGATATTTCACTGAACTTATTATTTAATAATTTGGCACTTGCAACTAATGATATTAAGATATGAATACCTAGCATTTAAATATATATCTTAATCAAGTTTAGTTTAAACATAATTTGGAGATTAGATATCACTCAATTCTAGAAGTATAACAATACAATATTTAAAAAATATATATATTATAATAATAATTATAAAATACATTACAAAACAATTAAATCTCTAATACAGAATTAATGATAACAATAATTCTATTCCTTATATATAATGGGTATATATCATATACAATTATTAATTATCATTATAAATTTTAAAATTTATTCTAATTCCAATTAAATAATTGTTATGATTTTATAAACATGCTAAATATTTTAGTGTAAAAACAATGCATGTTAATTCTCTAACTATAAACAATATAAATAGAATTGATTCTTTAACAAGTTTATGAAAAAATACTTAGTTTAATAAAACAACATGTTTGATGACTTTCTTTTATTGTATTATTTTTCCAGAATGGTTATTTGTAAAGATAATATTTATTAGAAGGACAGGTTTGGTGTTAAAGTTTGTTGTTTTTTTTAATTGAATTCGAAACATTTTCTAGATTAGTCTAAGAAACATTAGATTATGATAGAAACAAAGGAAGGATATATAAGAAGGTATTTGATATATGTGCATGATATATTAGATAAATCAGGCTGTGACGACGTCTCCTCTAACTGTTTCTGCAACAGCGACGGTTTATTCAACCAAATCAGCAGCAACACCAGCTGAGGTCAATGCACTTCTCAAGTGTCCAATGACTGTAGTGAATTGGTCATTTGTGATTCCCATGTTGGCATGAACTTCCTTTAAGTTCTAATAAATATTAAATAATATGATTATACTCTGCCTCCCCAAGCCTTTGGTCCTCCAAGAGCAGCACATAAAAATGAAGCTGTCTTATTTGTCTAATCAGCCATATTGATTCCATTGAAGAAATTGGAAACAGTAGCATCAGCTTGGATGTTAGCATAAAATTATGTTGTGACAGCTGTGACAGCGGCTTCACCTCCTAATTATTCAAAGAGTGTCATTTTTGAGTTTCTGGATTGTTTTATTAATGAATTTTTGGATATGTTGGGTAGTTTTAAACCTAAGAAAATTAAAGATATTTCATAATCGAATAAATTAAAGTAAAGATATTACGTACTATTGTTCTAATTATGTATATAATTTATTAACTAATTTATTGACTCTTGAAATTCCCATACAATAAAGACACCAATAATTTGATAAATACATAATTTACTCACTCGTATTATCTATATACCATTAGATCAAGTGCTATAATCGTATCTCAAAGATGTATATTAATTATCAAAATTAAATTAAATGTCATAAATAATGTTTTGTAATCAAATCTATAATCAAATACAAAAAAGAATGCTATTTAATTAAAAATTATTATTCTATCTGATAATTTGATATTATTGTAAANTATACAATTATTAATTATCATTATAAATTTTAAAATTTATTCTAATTCCAATTAAATAATTGTTATGATTTTATAAACATGCTAAATATTTTAGTGTAAAAACAATGCATGTTAATTCTCTAACTATAAACAATATAAATAGAATTGATTCTTTAACAAGTTTATGAAAAAATACTTAGTTTAATAAAACAACATGTTTGATGACTTTCTTTTATTGTATTATTTTTCCAGAATGGTTATTTGTAAAGATAATATTTATTAGAAGGACAGGTTTGGTGTTAAAGTTTGTTGTTTTTTTTAATTGAATTCGAAACATTTTCTAGATTAGTCTAAGAAACATTAGATTATGATAGAAACAAAGGAAGGATATATAAGAAGGTATTTGATATATGTGCATGATATATTAGATAAATCAGGCTGTGACGACGTCTCCTCTAACTGTTTCTGCAACAGCGACGGTTTATTCAACCAAATCAGCAGCAACACCAGCTGAGGTCAATGCACTTCTCAAGTGTCCAATGACTGTAGTGAATTGGTCATTTGTGATTCCCATGTTGGCATGAACTTCCTTTAAGTTCTAATAAATATTAAATAATATGATTATACTCTGCCTCCCCAAGCCTTTGGTCCTCCAAGAGCAGCACATAAAAATGAAGCTGTCTTATTTGTCTAATCAGCCATATTGATTCCATTGAAGAAATTGGAAACAGTAGCATCAGCTTGGATGTTAGCATAAAATTATGTTGTGACAGCTGTGACAGCGGCTTCACCTCCTAATTATTCAAAGAGTGTCATTTTTGAGTTTCTGGATTGTTTTATTAATGAATTTTTGGATATGTTGGGTAGTTTTAAACCTAAGAAAATTAAAGATATTTCATAATCGAATAAATTAAAGTAAAGATATTACGTACTATTGTTCTAATTATGTATATAATTTATTAACTAATTTATTGACTCTTGAAATTCCCATACAATAAAGACACCAATAATTTGATAAATACATAATTTACTCACTCGTATTATCTATATACCATTAGATCAAGTGCTATAATCGTATCTCAAAGATGTATATTAATTATCAAAATTAAATTAAATGTCATAAATAATGTTTTGTAATCAAATCTATAATCAAATACAAAAAAGAATGCTATTTAATTAAAAATTATTATTCTATCTGATAATTTGATATTATTGTAAATACTTTATAACAAAATTTCAGTATTTGATTGTAATATTAAAATGAATCAGTCGGTATTCTGTAAATATTGATTTAAATAAATATTTCATTAAAAGTATCTTCTTGCTCAAGTATTAAAAGTACTTTGAGAGAATATTAATAATAGGATAAATTTTGTGATACTTATGAATATATGAGAATGCTTAAAAGTGTAAATTTATCAAATCAATTATTTTTATTATTTGAATATTGAAATGGGTAATTGTCAAGCATGTATGAATGACCCATAGAATATAAATGAATATGGTGCTCATTAGAATGCAAAATAAGCATCTTTACACTCTATGGTTAGAAGATCTTAACCTTTTTCAAAAGCTTCTTTGGCAGAAATTGTCAATGCTTCTTAACACTAATTGAGAACAAGTCAAAAACCTTCAATCAATATTCAAAAAGAGGCATCACTATCTATGGTTGGAGATGGAGTGGACATTTAAAAATAAAAAACAAACTCAGAATAATTAATATCAGTGCATTGCCCAATAGCAAAATTGGCTTAGCATTGGGGTAGACCAGCCAGTGAACTATAAAGTTTGATAGGACCAAAAGTCAAAATGGTGCTTAGTAAATTAAAGGAATATTAATATACAAGAGGAGATGATCCAGAGGCAGTGCATTTGGAGCCATAAATATTTGAATAAGGGATGGTTTATGATGGTTAATGGAAATATGGATTAAGACAGGGTCGAGGTAAGGAATTGATAAAATATAATAGGGAGATAAGTTTGGAAAGAAGGTAGTTATTATGAGGGATATTGGAAAAACAGTTGTGCTCATGGTCATGGCAGATTGATACATGCAGATGGAGATTATTATGAAGGAGAATGGGATAATGATAAAGGTAAAATAAGTAAATATGTTTAGCACATGGTTAAGGGAAATATGTACATGCAGATGGGGCAAGTTATGAAGGTAGTTGGAAAGATGATAAATAAGATGGATTAGGACATGAAATATGGCCAGATGGTACAAGTTATAAAGGAGCATACATTTAAAGTAAAAAGGAAGGTCATGGTATATTTAAATGGCCAGATGGATCATATTATGAAGGTGAATTCTTAGACAATGCAATTCATGGAATGGGTACTTATGTTTGGGGGGATGGTAGAACCTATATAGGATAATGGAGATAAAATAAAATGCATGGATTAGGAGAATTTAAATGGGCTGATGGAAGAAGATATAAAGGATCTTATTAGAATGATAAGAAATAAGGTTATGGGACATTTGATTGGCGTAAATATCTTAAAAATTCTTATAGCTGATGGATCAAAATATGTAGGAGAGTGGCATGATGGTAAATAACATGGTTTAGGTTCAGTTGTGGATGAAAAAGGAGAAGAACATAGAGGTAGATGGGACAATGGCACATTATTGGAATGGATTACTTAAAAGGATTGATAGTTTATTTAATTAACTATATAGTATATTCAAATGGCTTTTGTATATAGAAGTGAAAATAGAGTAACTTACATTCCAAAAACTGAACAAGTGGGACCTGGATAATATGATCACATCCCTGAAATAGAAAATAGATCTAATCATCATCCCTTTAATTCAACCGTCGAAAGAATAAATAAATCTAATTAGCCTAAACCTGTTCCTGGCCCTGGAACTTACAACCTATAAGGGTCCTTCGAGTGTCAAAAGGTTATCTTTTAATCAGATGAACAAGAAATCAAAATTTTGGAAGTACCTAAACCAATATCAGTTTTCAGATCCACTACTGTGAGATTTAAGGAGGATAGATTTGAAGGACCTGGGTATAATCGTCATATTCTATCCTTAGTCCTACACAATACTTCTAAGAAGAAAGAAAGAAATTTCATTCGGCCGGTTAACCCAATCGCTCAAAAAAAATTAATGTTTTGGAGTAATTAGTAAAGGAGAACAAATACCTAAGCATACCCTCCATTCCTTCTAATGTCCATTAAGGCTACATTGAGAATAAAGGTTATACTCTATAATATATGAAGACAATCAGTTGGAATAAAATCCTATTGACTCATCTAATGATGTCGGACCAGGATCTTATGATCTTAAAAGTACATTCAATAATACAAAACCCAGAGGAGTATCATGGCATAAACCTAGAAGCCAAGACAAAAAAGACAATAAGTCACCTATAGGCCCTGGTTATTATGATATCTGTGGTTAATCCTAACCTATGTACTAAATGAAACCAACAACAGCATTCAGTTCTAAACAAAGTAGGAATTCTGATTTCAGATTTTAAAATCTAAAAAACAACACTGGATACATTAAAAAAGGATTGGATAATAAATAATATAGTTTTCATCAATCTACTAATCCAGCTACTACAGCTAGAGAAACTGATGCAGATTCAGAATATAGTTACATTGAAGTATTTTATATCAATCAAATAGGATGCAACTCCAGGTCCTGGCTACTATGAAAATGCCTCTACCCAGTAAACGATTTCTTAATTTTTAAATAAATCTTAAGCAAAAGGCTCAATCAAAACAAGAACTAAAAGATTTCATACAAAATCTTAGCATACTCCTGGCCCTGGTAGTTATTAAGTGGAAGTGATAGCTCATCGTTATAAAGGGGCTTAACCTCCCTTTTTAATGAGCAAAACTAGATTTGAAGAATAATTTTCAGAGACACCTGCTCCTGGTTAATACAAGGCTGCTAATACTATGGAATAAAGATTGATATAAAAATTAATGAAAGCTCCATTAGGATAATTTGGAGTTAATGAGAATAGATTTAAAGAATAAAAATTATTAGTTCCTGGTCCAGGATCATATGAAGTAGATAAAAATGATGATACAAAAAAAGATAAGAAATTACCAGAATAAAAAGGAACATATGCATTTATGAGTCATGCACCTAAAAGTTAAGATTTATCAATTCCAAATATAAATCCAGCTCCAGGTGCTTATAATGTTAATTAACATACAATTGCTAATAAAATAATTAAACCAGAAGAAGATGATCCTAAATTGGCAGTAATTAAACCACCATTTGGAGTTGGATCTGAAAGATGGAAAATAAAAGAAGCAAATGAAGATGAAGAAGATGATGAACCTTTTTATTTAGAAAAATCAGCATAAAATTAATTAGGATTATTTAAAAAGAAAAAGAAAGATCCACCACCATTTATGTGCAAAGTATTAATCAAATTATATATATTAATAGTAAGAAAGATTTTCAAAAAGTGTACCTAAAGATAATATACCTGGTCCTATGGATTATGCTGATGGAATGTATCCTAATTGGAATAAAAGAACATTTAATATTATATTTGCTGAAATTTGAAAATTATATTAATTATCATATTATATTCAAATATTATTAAATAATCTCCTTCTCTAATTAACCAATATAACACAACCATTTACAATGATATCAGTTTAATAAATTTGATAAAACAATATTACAATTATTAATAAAGGAATAATAAAAATTACTGATCAAGTCTAAAAATTAAGATTTATCTCTTGGTTACTCAGATACTTATAGAAAAGGAAGTGTTAGAAAGAATTGTTTTGTATTTTATTAAGTAAAATTAATTAATAATATATATATAAAAACGGAAATGAGATTATTATTAGTTCTTCTAATGATTGGTATAATATCAGCAACAATGGCTCCTCCTATTACAAGCAATGATAAGAAATGGATTAGATCAACTGCTGAGAATGATTCATGTCATAAAGATTGCAAAAATTCAGATGGTCATGTTTGTTCAGGATTACATAAATAATAATGTTGTTAAAAGCATTGGTGCATTAAAGATGATAAATTGCATGATGTATGGAATTGCAGAAGTGGATTGTATATATTTATGTTTAAATTAGTGAAATTAATGTTGATTCATGTAATTCTTTCCCCAAAAGAGATGCTGGATTCTTACAAGAAGACTATTGAGACCAAATATAAATTTATCAATTATTATCATTCTTACCTTTTTTCACAAATTTAAAATCATTCTGTTTATATTATTCAATATTTTCGATTATATTACTTTCTTTATACTTCAAATATATAAATAAAATAATTTACCATTTTGTATCTGGTATGAAATACAATCTTCTAAAAGCAATACTTAATTTAATTTGATAATCTTATCTTTTATTTAATAGTATTAATTATTTAAATTCATTTAAGTATTTAGACTATTGATAATTGTCTTAATTTATCTAATCTCTACTATTATTTTTATTTTGGTAAAGGAGTACATAATAAAAGGAAAGATTTGTATAAACATCTATTGAAATATAACCTTTTTTTGTTAATACATTATCTTATTTAACATAAAGAGAGTAAATTTAAAGAATATACATTTTTATTTTATTAAGAATTTTATATTCTACCTAAATTTTTGAATATTTTAAACTCTAATCGTTAGTTTTCAAACTCAAAAGAGTTAGTAAATATATACAAATATTTCTTAATATAAGAACCTTTTAATTAGTTTATAAGCAAAGGAATAAAATTATTTTAGCTTTCAGAAAGAAATTGAAGATTCTATTTTGTAGCTAAATAACAAAACTAAAAACCCTTTTATAAATCCAAAAAATAAAAAATTCTTAAATTTATCTTTTAGTAGGTTTTTTAAAAATGTTTAGAGGATTATATATAAATAAATTTTTAGTTTATAATAATTAGAAATTTCATAAGTATGGAAATTTTGATGAGATATATTTAATCCAAATTTAACTTAAAATTTAAAATATGATAGTAATTAAAGAGTTGATTTACTACTTCGATTATACAATTTGTTAAAAATCGTTTCCTATAAATTCATTATTAATTAATATATTAATAACATAATTGTCAATTAAAAAATGGTTACTTGAATTGGAATATGTGGAGAGAGTAATTCTGTGGATAAAATTTAATAATTTAATATTGTTGTAGATAATTAAATTAAGATTGGATTATAAATAGGAGATGAAGATGTTCGAATTAAAAATTAATATAGAGTTGAGAAAATATCAATATACATCATGTAAATGAAAAATCATAGAGACATTCTTTCAAATTGATGAAATTAAAATCGAAAAATTATAGGAGTCAGTTCTGGAAAAATTTGATTTTGTTACTTTAGATTCAAGACCATTTTTATTGGATAGTGATAAAATGTTAGAGATATAGTTTTGGAAAATAGGTTTGGCCAGATCAATCAGATTACAAAGGAGAATGGATTAATAACAAGGCTTGTTGAAAAGGGAAATTGTTTCATGCTGTTGGGGATATTTATTTAGGTGAATGGATTGATGATATAGTCTGATTTAGAGAGATATTATCATTATAGTGGAGCAAAATTTGAAGAAGAATGGAAGGATGAAAAATAAAATTTTAATTAAGAGTAATGATGGTCAGATGGTTCAAAATTTAAAGTATAAGATGAAGTTTAAAAGAAACATAATTAAGGTTTATTATAATTTATGGATCATTTTATAATGGAAAATTCAATTAGAATGATATACATAGAAAATGTAGTTTATTATATTTTATATAAGGTCGATATGTATGGGCAGAAAATAGAGATTATAAAGGACAATGGAATAAAAATAAAAAAGCATGGGATATAGGAATTATAAAATTTCTTGATTAAATAATATTTGATGGATTGTATAAAATTGGAGATAATTTGTTAATAGATATTAGAATGAAAAGAAAGATGGTTATGGTATGTTCATATGGTGAGTTGGAAGAAAATACGTTGGATTATGATTGGATGAAAAGCAATATATAGAAGAGGAACCTTTATTAATATAAGTGAATAAATTCATTTAGGTGAATGGATTGATGGAAAAAGAATTAGATGAGTGGGATAGGAGGAACAATAAACAAATTGAAATATATTATAAGATTATTTCGTTAGACTAATATTTATACTAGAATTATATTAAGATTAATATGTCCTAAGGAAATTAAAATCCAGAACTTTAAGCTGAATAAATTGATATCATTCGAAAGAAACCTAGTCTAAAGTTTCAACCTGAAGAGAATTATCAAAAAGATTAGTATTACTTATTTTATTACTAATTTCTAAATTAGAAATGAATTATAGAGTGTGAAAACCAATAAGTAAGAACCTATTTTTTTCCAAGATCCTAAATTGGAAGATAAACATTGTTTATTAAATATTATAGTAGTTAAATAGATAGAATCTAAGCAATTAGCTAAATCGTAAACTCAATATTTATTTGATATTTATTTTAGAATTCATGCATCTCATTAACTTGGAGGAGTATTTTTATTTATAGTAACTGCAATCAAACTACTTGGTTTAAATAAATTTACTACTATTTCATTTACTATAGCCATCTTGATCATTATATCGTAACAAATAAATATTTTACAATGAGTTCTTTACTCTGGATTTTAAGTGTCGCCATTGGGACAATTGGTATCAGAAGACAAAAACCTAATTCTTTAATTTTCTATTTTTTGGGAATATTAGTGTCATTTATAATTGAATTTTCGAGTACTATTGTTATTATGGCAACTAATCACATTGCTGATCATTAATTAGGCATTTATAATAAAAATGTAGTAATCAGGTTATAATAATATTCATATATCTTATAGGATAATTATTTTTATGACACTTGAATTTATGGTAATTCTCTTTTAGATCATGATGCTTAGGTCAGTAAGATAAATTAGACAATTATTTATTGACATTGAAAGATTGTAAATAGAGAATCAAAGTAATAATTAAATCGAAATCGAAAAAATGTTATGATAATTATTCCATTCTTTTATTTACATAATCAATATTCATTTTATTTTCCTTATTCATCATTTTTAATATTAATTTATAGTTTTAATTTATGGGTAAAAAACTTAAAAAGGGAAAGGAAGGACCAGTCAAAGAATATTCATCAAGAACCAAAGCTCTCAAAAAACTATAAGTCAATCTCAAAGATTTCAGAAGACTTTGCATCTTAAAAGGAATTTACCCAAGAGAACCACCTCAAAAATTAAGAAAATAACATAAAACCTATTACCATAATAAGGATATTGCTTTCCTTAAAAATGAGTCTATACTTGATACATTCAGATAGAGATAGGCTCATTTAAAAAAAATAAGAAAAGCATTAACAAGAGGTGACAAATTGAAGGCTGGTAGATTACGAAGAAATTAACCAAAAGATAAATTAGATCATTTGGTTAAAGAAAGGTATCCAACATTTATTGATGCATTAAATGATCTTGATGATCCATTATGCTTAATAAGTTTATTTGCTTCATTTCCAACACATAAAGAACTTCATATTCCTAATACATTAATAAGAAGTTGTTAAAAAATGATCAATTAATTTTTATTATATTTAGCAGCTAATAACTGTTTGAGAAAAGTAAGATTAAATTATTTATATTTTAGGTTTTCCTTTCTATTAAGGGTATTTATTATCAAGCTGTAGTTTAAGGAGCAACTATTACTTGGATTATGCCATATCCTATTTAAGCTTCTTTACCATTAGATGTAGATTATAAAATAATGATGACATTCCTTGAATTCTATTAAGTTTTAATGAAATTTGTCAATTTTAAATTACTTGGTTAAGAAATTGAAATTACTGATTTAAGTGAAGAAGTTAAGAAATTAAAATCAATATAATAAAATAATTAGTATTGTTATTTGTTAATATTAGAATGGAAATTGATGAAGCCTTTAAAGAAGATCCAACAATTTAATAGATGGATTAATAATAATAAGAGATAAAAAAATATTCAGAATTATTTAAAGGATTAACATTTTTCCTGTATCCAGAAGTACCTAAAGCATCTTTGGAATTTGTAATATTGAGTTTTGGAGGAGAAGTGATGTGGGAAAATGATAACAAAAATTCATAATTAATTGATCCAAAAATAACACATGTGATAACTGAAAGATAAATTTAAAAGAATAAAAAGAGAGAATATATATAACCATAATGGGTTTATGATTCAATAAACTAATTAAAATTATTGAGTGTAGCTGATTATGCTCCAGAATCAGTAATATTTATATTAATTATTTTAGACTCTCCCTCCTCATTTAAGTCCATTTGAATAATTAAATTTAGAGGAAGTTCAATCAGAAAGTGAAGAAGAAGATGGATAATAGAAAGAACATAAACCTTATTAGAATAATAAAAAATAAAAGGAAAAATAGGCTAAATAATAAGAAAAAGAGACTAAGAAATTAGCTGAAACTATGTTGAGTAGAAAAAATAAGAGATTATATGATATGATTAAGAGAAAAGAAGATGAGGAGAAATAAAAGAAAAATAAATTATAAGAAAAGAAAAAAATGATACAAGGTAAGTAATAATGAATTATAAATATTTAATGTTTATAAAATTACAAATTTAAATAAAATTATTTTATTCTTATTAAGATGGATTAGGAATTATTATTTTGGGAAAAGTTTCTATATAATTAAAATGAGGTAAGTTGGGATGAATTTAGTGCTTCTTTTAAAGAGTTTGTCAAAATATAAGAAGAAATTGAGATCGATAATGATTAGTTGCTTTTTATTAAATGTAAAATAGATCCAGATTATAGAAATATTATAAGGAGAACAGATTATGTAATATTCTTTGAGACTGTATTACAATAATATATTCGTCTTAGTATTGGAAATCTAAGAAAGAGAGATTAAACTTATTTTAATACTAGTTCACTTTATAAACATTTTAAATACCAAAATAAACTTTAAGGCATCTTAACCTAAAAGTTATATATATAGCAGATGGTTGTCCTACTTATTTTAAAGATATTTAAATAACAAGAACAACTTAAAATAATATACCTTTAAAATAAGAAGAGATCTTCATTGTTGGTTAAACAAAAGAATGTGATCTTTAAATAATTAATGATAGATAAGTGAATCCTATTCATTTAAAGATAATTTGGACTCCATATAATGTATTTTTAATTAGAGACAATTCAAGATCATTTCGAACTAGTTAACGTATACAATAATAACTTATACTTGATGCCCTAATGATTATTAGACTTAATCAAAATACATATTTTAAAGTTAAATTTATCTAACCTATGCCTAAAATTACTACTTAAATCTCAACTTATGAAGATAATAGAAATCCTAACATTACAGATTTAGTTAAATCTCTACAATTATATAAATCAGTATAAGATTATAGAGATAAATATAAGTAACCAAGTTATAACGAAGATTTACCTATTTTAGTAATAGAATTTATAGAAGGAGTACTTAAAGGTAAGGAATTCCTTCTGAAATCTGAGTAGGAATATATGTTAGGATCAGGTTTGAATTGTTCAATTGTAATTCCTGATTCTAGTTTGTAAAGAGAACATTGTAAGATCTTATTTAAAAACAACTAGTGGTTAATTTAACCAAAAGAATCACAATATTTAGATCCAACATAATATGGAACATTTGCTTTACTTGCTAATCAATAATAATATGAATAGTATTTACCAAGCAAATGTCATGTATTACATGATGGTATGAGAATAGTAGTTGGTCCTATTCTATTTTAAGTTCAATATTTCAGTTGATTATTATTTTATTTTTGGATATATATGTAAAAATAAAAGTTGTTTAAAACAATCATTATCTTTTTTGATTAATAAGGATTTAAGAACTTTTAAACAATATGATGTTAGATTTTCTATTTATTATTGAATGATGATTTTAAGAATAAAAAGTAGACATTTTGATTTTGTTTGAAAATGATATTATGATAGATTTGAAATTCAAAGCTATTTAAAGTAATTTAAAATGGATATATACAATCTAAGTATATAAGTGAAAGAAATCCATAAATTAATTTGTTATTGTTTCAATATTTGCACAAAAATTGTTTATGTATTCAATATATTTCGTATTTCCATTATTGATATACTTTATATTGAGGATAAGGTTTGGTTTTGAAACAGTCATACAATAGAATAACAAGAAATAACACAAAATAGATCTAAATTTATATTGTTAATTTTACAATGCATGATGTATATAAAGCATTTTATGTGGTTTGTCTATCAAGCATCTTGAACTTCAAAAAAGGCATTTGAATTTGAACCAAATATCCAAGAAAACCCAAAAAAATAGTTCCAAAGAGAGTTATAGATGCACAAAACATAATTAATTAAAAATGAATATTACATAACTAGAACTATTTAATCAAGCATGTCATTAATATAAGGGTATGGTGATTTCTTCTGATTTCATACAGGCAGCTCTTCTTAGTAGATATCAAATAACTCCAGCTGAATTCTTAAGACCTTTTTTACCAAGAAAATTACAAAGATTGAAATTGGGTTTAAGAGAGAAAGAAAAAGAGCTTAATATAAAATTATTAGATTTAAGGGAATATGATTAAATTGGTAATGTTAAGTTAGACAAATATTCACGTCTTTTGTTGGAGGATACCCAATTTGTGGATCAAGTTTAAATTTCAAGAAATTGTAGTAAATAAATTTTAGATCAAATATGCGAATAAAATAAGATGACTGGGTTCTAATAATTGTAATAAGTAGTTGGTGATTGTTTAGGATTCTAATATCATTATAATTTCTTGGATCATCCAATTGTATTATTTTATGTAGTAAGTGGATAAGAAAAAAATATAATATAAGAGATCCATAAAATAAGAAATGATTCAAATAGTTTGATTAAGATGATTTTTAAAAATAATATTAATGATTTAGATATGGTGAGTAAAGTAATTATAATATTGAATGATGCTTAAGAGGTAGTATAATATGAATCTCTTGATTAAATCTTTAAAGAATTTATTAAATTTCGAGCTTATACATTAAAATATAATCTACCTAATCCTATTGAATAAACTCACTGGTCTAGATTTTCATATCAAAGATATAATTATGATGGTGAAATTCCTAAATATCCTTTAGGAATATTGGATGAATAATGGACTAAAATATATAGACAAGTTATTGAGGAAATCATATTATAATAAGCAGTTGTTATGTTGGAGAGATAAATCAATTTATAGACATAATTATATTAAGAAATGAAATAGAAAACATTCGATACATTTTTAACAAGCATATTCAATACAAGAACAGGTTAACCAACTGAAACTGAATATAAGATGACTTAGAGAGAATAACTTTTGAGATTCTTGGGTGACAATCATTATTTAATGAATGATTATGAAAGTGCTGCCATTTATTATAAAGGACTTATAAATGAACTTAAAAATAATAAGAGTAATACTATTATTGCTACATTAAATGCAACTGAATATTATTTATATTCTCGTTTATTAGCATAATAGAAAATAGATAATTTAAAGAATATTTTTGATGAAATATAAGTTGGTTATCATAAGATTGTTCATTTTCCATATATGTTAAGAATAATGTTTTTTTATATTATTACAATTCATATGTTTGGAAAATATAATAAAGAATAAATCTATTTCCTTTAAAGATTTCATCGTTATTTTAAAGATTTAGGTAGTACTACAAAAAAAGATTATTTTGTTGTATATTAAATATTAGTCTATGAATAAATTGCTTTTATACATTTAAGATTAGATCCTCCAGAATTTAGAAAATTTGCTCATAATTTAACTTTAGTAGCTAATAAATATGAATCTGAGAATTTCAAAAAACATGCATTAAGATGTTTTAAAATAGTTGAATAATTATATTAATAATCTAAATGGGTTCCATTATTATTTTGGTTGGAAGGTCATATAGGGGCTAATTGTTTAGAGAATCAGAGAATTTAAGAAGCTATTGATTCATTTAAATTGGCATTCAATTAAATAAATGAAAGATAACCATAGGAATTGCATAATCAATTAGTTGTAGATTGGAAAAAAGCATATACATCAATTGAGCAACTTTAAGATTACAGAAGAAAATATTTTACTCATTCTAATACTGCTCTTAAAATTCCTATTGTAAAAGGATTTGTAGATATGTTAACACATGGTTAAGATGTACTTGATTCAATATTACTTACAAATATCAAATAGAAATTCAAGAATTTATGGAATACAGTTTCTAAAAATGAATCATTTTTTGAAGATGCATCTATTAGAAGTTTTGATTCTCTTTATTTAGAAGAAAGAATAGCATGTTTCAATAAAACACCTTGTATATTAAATATAGACAAATTAACAGATCTAGTTGATAAGATTAATAAGTTCGGAAGATAATGTTTTGCTGAAGATATAATAACTTTAAGATTTTTCATAAATTTACCTCTTAAAGTACCTAGTTACATTAATGGTTTATAAGTAATGTATTAATTTTACACATTCAAAGAGAATCTATTAGAAATAGATACAAATAATGAAAAAGAATATGTACTTACAAAAATATCTACTTTAGAAATAAAGGATATTCCTTTTTAAAGAGCAGTATAAGAATATATAGAAGTTTCTATAACACCTCCATAAGCAGGATATTTAATAATTACAGGTTTGTAATGGAATTTTATGAATATTCCTGCATAATTATTAATCAATTATGATACTAAAGATTAATCAAAAAAGAAGAGTGTTAATTTTTATAATAAGTTTAGAGTATTTCCTAAATTTATACCAATTGAAATAGAATATTATACAAAACCTATAATAGCATATGGTGAAATACGACCTATTCTATTTAAATTTACAAATAAAAATCCTGAAGAGATTGTTATTTAAATTACTCCAATAATACCATATCATTTTGGATTTGAAGTAAAAAAGATTATATTAAAAGCATTTTAAGTTTTAGAATATCAATTTTATTTAAGATGTAGTTTTTAAGAAGAGTTTGTTGGTTAATTATTATTTAAGTATTAATAAGGATAAAGTGGTGGAATTAGAATTTAAAAATTAGAAATTCCAATGAAAGTTGATCCTAGTTTTAAAATATCACTATAAACAGATTTAATTGTAGACTATTGGAAATTTACATTATAAGTTTAAGATTATTTTGGAGGAAAAGGTAATTTAAGATTTGATAGAATCCTATGTTTGAATGAGAATTGGTAATACTTTGATGTTCCATATCAATCAAATGGTGATCCATTTCTATTAACTACATTTAAAATGAAGAAAATTTAGACAAAAGATTATAGATTTGAAGAATATCAAAATAGATTAAAGGAACGATTTTATAAGGATGGTGATAATTTTAATGAAATAGTTTTAGGTGATTAATGTATTCCTGCAGATGTTGCATTAGATTTTGTAAATTTGGATATATAACATTATTTTAATGTTTTCTATTAAAAATTATCTAATTAAAGAATGGAAGAATTCCCTCTATTTATTATAGCAAGATGGACATATAGATATGAAGATGAAATAATCTTTGGATTACATGAATTACCAGTTTTACAATAAAACTATTTACATAGGGATATAAAAGAATTCCCTATGTCTTTTTCGATATCAGCTCCATTTGAAGTATAACATCAGAGTATGATTACAATGGTTCCAATTAAGATTAGTTTCAAAAATACTAAATATGTAGAACCCATAAGTTTTACTGTACAATTTTTTAATGGGGATGAACCTTTAAAGTACAATAAAATTAATTATTAAGATCGATCAATGACATTTAGTAGCCTTTCTTTTTGTGGGAAGGTTTCCTGTAACACAATATAACTTTGAAGCCATAGGAGATTAAAGTTGTGAATTTAGAAGGTGTTTTTACAGAGAAAGGAGTCTATGATTTAAGTAGATTCAGATTGACTATGCAAAATAAATAGTAAAATGAGTATTACTCAATTGATCATGAAACAGTTATAATAAAAATTATATGAGATATATTTAATTAATAATAATAATATGTCAAAGAAAGGAAATAAGAAAAAAGGAGGAGATGATGGAGAAAGAGAAGAAGAAGAAAAGGTTATGGTTTTGGAACATAAATGCAGAGCACTTTAGACTAGATTAGGTAGAACTATAAATTTAAATATAAGTTGAGGAACAAGAAAGAGGTGATAAAGCAAAAGCAGCTGAAAATGAAATTAGAGCTAGAGTGATGGAAATGGAAAATGATTTGAAGAAAGAGAAAGACAAACTATTTTGCATTGTGTATTAGGATTATCTAATCATAATATAGATCTGATATGACTAGATAATATAAATAAATGTAAGAAGAATTACTCAAATAAATTACTGATTTAAGATCCACTGATGTAGAAAAAGAAGAAATAATTAGTAAATTTTTAATTTAATCAATTTTAGAGAATAAAGAACAATATATATAAGATATGGTTAAAGATTATGAATACAGATTGAAGAAGAAGGATGATGAAATTAGTGAATTGAAACGTAAAATTGAAGAAATGTCTGCTGAATTTGCTAGAATGCTTAAAGTATTATGTTGATATCATTATTCTAAGGATACTCTTGATAAAATGTAAGAGAGAATATAATTGGCTTAATGGGATAATGACACTGATCCTCAAATCATGAAGAAGATCAAAGATATTGCTGGAATGTAAACTCATCAATAAAATTGATTTCATAATATATATATTTACATATAAATTTTATTGATAATAGAATCATCAATGAATGCCATCCCTTTTAATAACAATATTGATTGTATGATTTATCTATAAAAGATCGATCACTTCCATAGACTGCCTTTCCTACAAGAAATATTAATAGAAATGCTACTCAACAATCCCCTTAAAAAATTCCCAAAAGGTTTTTTAACATTAATTATTTCTTAGAGAATTCGATTATAAACTAATCTAATCATAAACTTAAAATCTAAATGCATCATCTCATTCTTTATCAAGACTTAGATCTGACACACCTATTACTATAAGAGGATAAAATTATCGTTATGTAGGTTAAATGAATGGAAACTAGAGGGAAGGAGTTGGTTCTTATTATACAAATGAACTCGAATATGAAGGATAATGGTACAATAATGTTTATCATGGATTTGGAAAATTATATTAAGATGGCAAATTATCATATTAAGGACAATTCAAAAATGGTTTGAAATATGGAGCTGGGATTGAATATTATGAAGATGAATCTTATTTTGTTGGCAATTTTGAAAAGAATCAAAAAAATGGTATTGGAACACTTTATAAAAAAAATGAAAATATATAAGGATTATGGCAAAATGATAAATTATTAGAGAAATATTGATAATTATAAACTTATTAAATGGATATTTCAAAATAATTATTAATCTTTGTCAATCCAGCTAGTGGAAAAGGACATGCTTTAAAAGAATGGAATAAAGCAAAACCCATTCTTGATAAATTCAATGTTAAATATTTAGTCATTATGACATAATATCAAAATCATTGTCATGAGTATTTATTAAAAGAAGACCTTTCAAATGTTTATGGAGTAGTACTTGTATCTGGAGATGGATTACCACATGAAGCTATAAATGCTTTATATGCAAGATCAGATTGGGAATAAATATCTTAATCTATTACTATTGGAGTACTACCAGGTGGGAGTGGAAATGCATTTGCTAAAACATTGACTAAATTATCATAATTGGAATGCAATTCAGAAAGTTGTGCACTTTTAATTGCAAAAGGAATGACAAGACAAATGGATCTTATTTTATTAGAAATGCCTTAAAAGAAGGTTGTTTCTTTTCTATCTTTAGCCTATGCCTTCATTTCTGAAGTGGATTTAGGATCTGAATCATTAAGATTTTTGGGAGGAGCTAGATTTGATATATATGGAACATGGAGAGCATTATTTTAAAAGAAATATTAAGCAAAATACAATAATCAATAAATGATGTTTAGATATTTTTTAGCATAAAAGATACCTTACATAAGTGATAATTATTTATCAGCACCTGCAGCTCAAATTGATGATGGATTGATTGATGTACAATATCTTGAGGATGGAGATTGGTCACAATTAGTCAAGTTATCATTAAAATAATATGATGGTAGTCATGTTGAAATTGATGAATAAGGAAATGTAAAACCAAAAGGAAATTGGAAATATGAAAAAGTAAAAGAATATACATTTGAACCAATAACTAATTGTCCATTAAGTATAGATGGAGAAAGATATCCTCCACAACCAGTAAAAGCTAAAGTTTTACATAAAATTTTGAAAGTATTTTGTTATTGAAAAAAATTCTGTTAATTGAAATCTCATATATTCTTTCCTTTAATTTATTCAAATAAGACTTTTGAATAGTTTTCAAACATTTCTTTACTGCAATTTATTACTATTTTTTCTATTAATAATAATAATAATATATATACTTATATCTTCTTCACTTAGTTATGCTTATGATTGTTCCATTATTCTATTTGTTTATTGTTCTTATTATTCTTATTTTCTGATTAATTATATAGACTTTTATAAATTATTCAAATCATCATCTATTTCTCTTAATACATTATCTTTAACCTATTAATCTTTTATCTAATTCAATAGGTTTGTTAAATCTAGCAATTCCACTTGAATTTATCTAATATGACATCTAGCCAAATTAGTTTATTAAAAGATCTATATATTATAAGGAAATAATTACTTATTATTAAGTTGGATCAACCAATTATTGATGATAATGTTAATCATAAGCATAAGAATTATTTAAATTAATAGAATCCTTTGAAATAGGACCAATTATTTATTTGATATGTTCTTATGTTTAAGTAGCATTATTAATTTATAAACTAGCTTCAGTAGGTATAAATTATTTATTTTATTGTTATTAATAATCAGCATAAGAATTAAGATTAGAATGTAATTAACTATTAATTATTTATGTATCTTATTCTATTATCTTTGTTTCTAATACTGTTGTATCTCTCTAAGTTTAATCAACTTAACTTTCTTGAGTAATCAAATTTTATTATAACATATCATGTTTTTTATTAAGTTATTTTAATTTATCTTATTTAATTTCCTCTCTAGTTCTTTTTTTTAATATTTGACTATCAACACTTTGACTTCTTGATGTTTATTAATATTGTGATTTTTCATAAAAGAAATTTAATTAACTCTATTCTTCAAGTTGATTTACTTCTTAAATAGTTTCTTAATTATTATGAATCTAATATTTATTTTATTATTTTTCATTAACTTTGTTAAGATTATTTTATACAATTAACAATTGATTTTAAATAGTTTTTATATCATCCTTATCAAATTTTTGATCTTTATAATTGAATTGTGAATTTCCTAAAGGAGATAGAGCATTTTCAATTTATTTAGATGATTTTGGATCCATTTCATTATCTGATTCAAATTTAAACAATTCTACTTGTTCTTCTTCTTATTTTTAATTTTATTATTGTTATTATTATTATTATTATTATTTATTATTATTAAGAAAACCTCTCAATTCATCTTCAATCCATAAACTATTAATAGTCCATTCTTTTGAACTCTTTAGATCTTATTAAGCAAATACTTATTTCAATTTCTTTCCAATTAAACCCAATTATTTCTTTTTAAATACTTTATTTAATTTCCAAATAATTATACAACCTTCATGACCAGCAGTAATAAAATGTTTATTATCCATAGCAAATCCCATAGAAGTAAGTTAATCATGCTAAAATTTTTAAATTAATTCAAATTTGTTATTGTAAATTTTTATATTTTTATCAGAATATGTAGCAATTTGAAGACAATTCTAATCATCTTTACTATAAAGTAATATTTTAGAATTTGCATCTGTTTCAAAAGATTATTTTAATTTACCAGTAGGAATATCATAGATTGATATTTTCTTTTCTAAACAAATATACAAATTATTAAAACTTACATCCATTGAATATATTTTAGAAATTTATTCTTGATGATATATTTTAAATTTTTATCCATTAAATTCTCTAAAAATAATTGATTTATCTAATCCACAACTGATTAATTTATTCTTACTAAATTTAACACAAGTAACTGAACTTGTATGTTCTTCTAATGATCCTATTTTTTAGAATTGATCATCATATATATTAATTATACGATCTCTTGATCCAGTAGCAAGTAAATCTATATATTCTGAGAAATCTAAAGTCATAATATCTTGATCATGAGCTTAAATTTATTTATATAATGTAAATGTTTAAGTAGAAAATATTCTTAAAATTCCAGCTGAATCTCCACATGCAAGATAATTACCATCTTTAGAAACTCTTACACATCTAATTTATAATTATGCTTATTGATTAGCTTTAAAATGTTAATATTAATCACCAATATAAATTATTTTTGAGAGATACTTACAATAAGCATTTCTTCTTAATCCTAAAGGTTATTATTCATAAATATGCCACACTCTTAAAGTTTAATCAGAGGAGGCTGTAACAAAGAATGTGGCTTCTATTGATGATTATTAAGTCATTATTTATAGATCATTAATACTAGCACTATGATTAAGAAATGAACGTTTTACAACAATCTTTTCAAAATTACCAATATCCCATAAAAACATTGTTCTATCACTATAAGCAGCAACTAAATAATTTTAATAGATTTAAACTGCTAAACAATCTGCAAATTAATCACCTTAAACTTTAAGTTTTGTAATTCCTTTTTCAATATTGTAATTTCCAAGATTAGGAGGTTTTGAGAGTGTTACAATATGTTACATATTTAAATTAAATATTCTTATAATAGCATCAGAACAACCTGTAATTAAATAATTTGAATGACTAGTTAATGAATAAGAATTAGTAGCCTTAAGATCCATCCATTTTTCAAATTATTTAGTTTACAAAGAAAATACAGTTATTAAAGAATCAAATGTTAATGCAAAAACTGAATATTGAGTAACATGAATATCAATAAAGTTCTTATGCATGAATTGTTCATTCAATAAAAAAGGTTTTGGATCCATCATATTATCATATGCTATTATACTTCCATCATTTTTAAATTACCAATATTTCAAATGTCCTTATCCTGCACTTATTAAAAGTCTTCCATTATCATTAAATCGTATTGTATTTACAGGTTTAGATAATTTATTCACTGTTAATTTAATACCCTAATTCCAATCCCAAACAAATAAACCTTTATCAGGTTCAGAACCTAAAGACACTAAATAAGGTTTAGCTGGTGATTCTACTATTTAAGTGATTCCAAATTTATGTCCCTTCAATTACTAACTAATATTAATCTCGCGTTCATCAGTCAATTTAAATATATTAACTGCAGGATTCTTAGTTGCTTACTCTCCTGTGAATACATGTGTACCATCTCTTGATATAAGGATGGCATGTACTTATGCTTTCCCAATCAAATATTTCTCTTATTAATTTTCTTTGTATGAGTAATATACAACTATTGAACCTGCTGCATAAGCTAGATTTTCTTAAATAGAAATTTGATGTTTCTATGTGACAGACATTCCTATAATGTAATTCATTTTGAAATTTTAAATTAAATTAAATATAATATTACTTTTCAATTTAATAAATTATCTCAAACAAAAGTGATCAATCCTTAATAATGAGTGATTAATATAAATAGATGTCTATTAATAAAATCATATTTAGATGTTTATTGTTATATCAAATTTATTACAATTTATTGTAAATATATATCTTAAACAATATAATTTACTTATCATTAGTTCATAAGATTTAGAATTTCCACTCTTATATGATAATAAAAGGATGATAATATTTCATTTATAATAGTATTATTAATGAAATAAACTTTATTCATTCACTTTTCATAATATAATATATTTAATTAAAAATAATTTATAACAAATATTCTTATTATAGTATTATAATAATTGAATAGATAATAAGAATGTTTATACTTACTCAAATTTAATTTTATCCTTATTTTAATCAATCTGAAAAATTGGACTATTTAATTTACATAGATTCTCAAAAATAATTAAATAATATTAATATTATTCTCTATTTCATATCAATAATAATACATTCTACAATCTAATTATTGTAAATAATTTATTCAATTTCCAATTGTTAACTAATTCAAAATTAAAATTTAAAATAAAATAGTATCAATGACAATTAAAGTCTTTAAATCTACAAAACTAAGAGGATCTATAAAATTAAACAATCTATGACTTCATGACTAAGTAATTATCAAAATCAGATGAAAATGATTTCATAAATATTTACTATAATTTTTCAGAACTGAAGAATTATTTGTTTTTCAAATTATTATAAAATTAGTACTACTAAACACATATAAAAAAGTCAAAAATTTTTCAAATAAATGAGCACGAATTGGTGAATTCTTTTAATGTAGATTTAATTTTGTTGTATTTCTCCAACATATAATTTTCGAAATCAGTTCTAATAACTATTTTTTCCACTTTCAATTATTTATCTTTATTTTTAATCTCTTTAGGAGTGTAATTGAATTCTTTCCAGTTTTCTACAATGTGAACAGTATGTTATTAACTGAATTAAACTGATCTTTTTTAATGATTGATAATAACTAAAGAAGTATTTGGCATTTTTATCTATTTTTTTTCTAGTTTATTTAAATTAATTAATATTAAGAATTCTTTGTTCCAAAAAATATATATACTGCAAATTAATAAAATAGCACTATTAATTTAAAAATATATAAATTATAATAATATATTCTAAATAAATTAATATCAAAATTCAAAAAAGTAAATAGAATTTTAATGAATATGTAATAGTGATATAATAAATAACTTAGCTAAAATCTTATATGAATAATTAAAAATTTAAATAAAATAATGTTTATAATATCTAAATATTTATAATATCTAAATATTTATAATATCTAAATATTTCCTTTCAATATTACAGTAATACTAAAGATATTATTAAGGAATACAATAATAGTAATGATAAAAAGATTAAATATATTTTAATATAAATTATCAAGCTGATTTATATTCCTTAAATAAATCAATCAAAGAACTAAAGTTATATCTTACAACTTAATGTAATATTTATTCATCATTTTAGATATGTTTCTATTTCAATTTCAAAATGCATTCCTATGAAAATTACATCTACTTCTTAATCTTATTAAGTAATAGAGTCTTCTTCATTGACTACCTTTATTCCAATGATTTACCTATTATTATTTTTTCTTTTTTGGATCTAATTGCTAAAATTTTACTTAAAACATCTCTCTTATAATGTTTTTCTTCTTTTAATATTACTTCTTTATTTTTTTAGTATTCTCTATAATATGAGCATATTTATTGCAACTCTCAACAGAATCATTAGAAATGAATTAATCTGAATCCATTTAATTTAAACTTGTGCATCGACTACAATTACATTATTTGCATTTAATAGGACAACTCCAATCTGGTCTAAGTAATATCTTTATTGGATTGATCTATTTAATTTAATGTAAATTTATACCTTAAATTTAAACATCAAACAATCAAAACAAAATCCATGTCTGCAATCTGTTGATCGATAATTGCTGAAACAATAATAACACATTTTTCCATTCTTATTACAATAATGACAAAATCCTTATTTTGTAATAGATCCTACTTAATCTCTAATTTATTATTCAGTTAAAATCTTTAAGTTTGTTTTCTACATTTCTATCTACTATTAAATATTTTGATTTGATTGTTATTTAACTACTTATTGTTTTTATTATTTAAGTTCTTATTCTTTTGTTTTAGGTTGATTACATTTGATTCTTTATTATTGTTATTGTTATTATCCAATATTATATTAATACATAGCTGGATTTTATGGATTCATATAATAAAATTAAGGAGGTTGTATTTATTATGGGAAAACATAATTTGGAGGTGGATGTGGATGTGGATACATATATTATTAAGGATACATATAACCTTATGAATTGTACATAAAATTATTTTATGTATGCATTTATATATTATTAATATATATTATTAATAATTTGTATTTACAAAAATACAAAAATACAAAATCAAAATTAATTAATAAAATCAATAAACTTTATCCTTGATAATTTTTTCATGTTATCTTATAAAACTTGTAAACATTTCAGTTTAATCTCCTTAATTTCCTTCATCTTTATCATCAACTTCAAATTCATCTTATTAAATATAATTTTATTGAAATCTTTTCAAATCAATAGAATCATCACTATTATTATTATTGGAATATTCCTCCTCTTCCAATCCATCTTATTATAATGAATCTTCATCTAAACTATCATAATCATCATAATCAGTTCTTTAAGAATCCTCACTATCAAAACTCTTCTCAGTATCACTTTCAAATTATTATTCTGCAATCTATTTCTCTATTTATTTAGTATCAATTTTCATTGTAATTTAAGATTATACTTTCTCTTTCTCCAATTTTTAAATTACATAATAGTCTTCTTCAAACTCATAATTTGCTTTTTCATTTACACTTGTTAATTAATTCTTATTCTATTCTAATTGTATTATTATCTTTAATATTTATATTTCAATATATATACTTTTTTTCTATTATTAGATAACAAAGAATCTCTAAAGTCTTTTCTAAACTTTGTAACAAATCTATCTCTTTTAAAGTAAATTAAGCTTTTTTCAGCTGTCTCTTTCTAATCAAAATTTTAGTCAGAATCAATATTTTATAATGGTATTCTTTATAACCCCACACTAATTAAAGAGTTGACAATTAATTTTACATTTCTTAATTCTTCTCATTTAAAGAAAGATTTCCCACTAATTCATCTAAATTTAACCTTTTTTACTTTCTAGAATACAAAAAATTTAACATTTCTTCCTCATTAGAAAAAACTATTAATAATCAATTACATAATTATACATATGTTATCAAAAGCTTAATCATTTTACCTTCTTTTAATGCTAAAGATTAGTTATGGTTAGTTCTATGACTCTACCTTCTTTTTATTTTTTGCAATGATTTCCTTTCTCTGAATCATACCAAAATTTGACTTTATTTATTAAACAAAATTCATTAAACAAATCTGTTATATAAAATTTAATCTAATAATTGTCTCAAATTATTTTTCCATAAATCTTCATTTTATTTTTATATTTGATTCTTCTTTTCATATTTAAGGATTATAAGTATTTGCTCTCTTGAAATATCAAAATATTAATATTATTAATTCCTTTTAATTATTATCTTATTACAATTGGTATTCTTAATATATTAAATTGTATTTCAAATTCATTAAATTAAATTTAATGTATAGGCATAAAGAGTTTGTAGATGGTTGAATATTGTCATACATTAGTATATGCCTCAAAATGAATTTTAGAGTATAATTAGCTGATCCTCACTTATATTGAGTATTTGTTGACAACTCTTGAATAAATATTATCAAAATTATTTATAGCTAACAAACTCTTTAAATATTTGCTTAATGTATTATTTAAAGCATGTTAGCTTAAAGTAAATAAAAGAGATTGGAAGACTTTTTCATGTTTTCAATATTCGCAACACTCTTTTACCTAAATTGATTAAATTAAAATTTTTGATGATCATTTCTATTTGTTCATAGTCTTTTAATAATCTTTTATATTTAAATGCTATCATAAATAAACCCCAGAATCATTTGACATAAGTTATATTTTAATATGATAATCAAATGTAATTGAATAAATCATAAAATAGCTATATTTTTAAGTAGAAAATAAACACACTAAAGTTTTGATTTTCTCAAGTGTTCAGTATATATAAATATTAAAATTCTCAAAGTAATCAAATATTTTTGATATTCAAATCAATTATTACTTTAATCTTTATGTATATTCTTAGATTACATGTATTTTTGCTTGTTTTTTAACAATAATGTTCAAAGATTCATATATTATTGACCATTTCAATATCAAATCTAATGAAATCTTCAGACCATTAAAAAGGCAATCTTCTCAATATCTGTTTATAGATTTTCTATAAAATCATTTAATTTCATAGTTATTAATATAATATGGAATTTAAGAATTTTTTAAACTAATTTTTAAGATATTTCAATATAATTAAATAAGAAATATTGAATTTATCAAAAATTATAAGTTAATGGTTTGTTGTATTATGTAATCAACTAAAATGAAAATAATACAACCATCTAATATACTATAAAGAAAAAGTTTAAACTAAAAATTTAAATGAATTCATACAATAATAAAAGAGGTAGCTAAGAAATTTTAATGTTGCTTTTTTAAATTTCTTTAATTTATTATTTAGTTGAATAAATATATGATTATTTTTTAATATATTGAATCCTCTTTATATTGTTGAAAAATCTTTTGACTATTTTAATAGCACTTGTTAAATCATCAACATTTGATATCTCTACCTCTAAATTCAATTAGGTAACATACATCTTAATTTAGAATAATAATAATAGTATAGTTGAATATAAATATCTACTATATGTATTAAGAATAAAGAATAATAATTTAATCGATTGGTATTATAGCAATATTCAACAGATAAAATCATTTAATAGTAGTGGAATATTTGTAAAATAAGTCAACTATAAGATATTCTTAATAGATTATATATATTTTGAATTATACTTGCTTAAAATGAATATCAGATCTAATATAATAGAATTTTTAAAGCTTAATAGATTTTCTTATTTCTTACATTGATAATTTTACTAGAGTCTTTGAATAACCCAGATTAAATTACTTTTTAAAGCAAAGTCGAATATGGAGAATATGATAAATGTTCAATAATGAATTAGACAATTTTTATAATTGAACTTATAAAATTTGATTGTTTATAATTAATATACACCATTTGCATTTAGTATTATTATAAAATGTCTTCATATCTTAAATTATGTTTTATATAATAAATAATATTAATAATTCATAATGCCTCATGTATTAGAAGATTTAAGGAGAATTTTCCCAAAAAAGTCATTTCTACTCTAGACCTATATGTTAGGTTGTTTCTATTTGATACATTAATAATTAAATGTTGATGAAAAGAAGAAAGAGAAGTAGATTATGCCAATATGGAGATCAAAATTGATTGAAAATCAACACAAAAGACATTTAAGATAATTTTAATTGAAAATCTTAATTGATCAACAAATACCACCAAAACCTCAACACAAATTGTCATATGGTTTGATGGAATTTAGTAATAGATTGTCATTTATATTTTAGGAACATCTTAATTTGTTGAGTTTCCAAACTTGAATAAACTAGACTCAACCTCATAAGTGGTATTATTTATGTAATTTTTTAGCATACTTTACAAATAGACTCAAAGCAGATTCAGAATTTTAGTTTGGATGACTTATCAACAATAGAAAGTGAATTTATTCCAGATATAAAGACAGATTTGCAAATACAGAAATCTGTGGATATGACATAAAGTTGCATCTTTTGATTTGTTTTTTTTATTATTACTTCTCTATTTTTTCATTTAATGTATATATATATATAAAGAAAATATATATATTTTAAATTGTCTCTTCAATCAGTTATTTATTTAAAAATGTCTTAAAAATCAAAAACACTATTACAATTACTTTAGCAACAATAACATTTCCATGATGATATAAATACATCCTTGGAGTCTAATTACAGACATAGTTCAGAACATACAGAAAAGAAGTTTGATCTCAAATTATAAAAATCAATACTTGATCTCTATTCATAAATTAAAAGCAATATCCTAAAAACTGAAGATCATGTATAAATCCTATTTCCAAATTAGTTGCTACTATGTTAAATAAGAAAATTAGTTCCTTTGGATAAGTCAGAAGATCTTTATACAGATCCAAATAGTTTGATTTGTTATATTGGATGTATTTTTACAGTTCTTATGCAAGATAAAGTATTTTTTAAATATTATTAGTTAAATTTAGAATAATAAGTAGAAGAACAAAAAACTAGAGATTAAAGTGATTATGAAGAATAATTAATTAAATTGGAAGCAGAAATAAGATAACATATAAGAGTATTTAAATAAATTAAATTAGATTGAATAATAATTGAAATTATTTGCAGAAAATACTCAATCAAAATTAGAAGATGCTTTAAAAATAAAAGAAGAATTAGAAGAAGAATTATAAGGAATAAAAAGTGATTTTTAAGTATTATATGATAAAAATAATACTTTGAATCAAAAACTAAGATAATAAGAAAAAGAAATTTAAATAATTAAAAATAATAGTACAATTGAAACTACAAATCAATCTCTTAAATCTACCTAAAATAATCAAAAACCTTTAAATAAAAAAGATAATATAGAAAATGAATATCCTAAATAATAATCTATTACAATCAATTTATAAGTAGATAAATAAAAACCTCCTCTATAAGATTATGTATAATTTATATATATATATAATTTAATAGCAAGATAGACTATAAACAGATCCATAAGATGATTATTTTAAACCTAGAAATGATTCTCATAAAAGAATTATTTCTACTCATGTTGCAAATACTTAAAATAACAAATCTAGTTATTTAGCTATAAGAACACAAACAGAATCATGTGAATATTAAGATAGAAAAAGAAAAAATAATTCATCTCATTATGAAACTTCAAATGTTACTAAACATTAGAGAAATAAGACAGCTTAAAATGTATTAAATCTGATAAGTAATAAATATACTTATAACAGAAGATTAAGAACTTAAACGTTAATAATCAGTAAAAGCATGTTAAGATAAAGTTTAAACTAATTAAAATAAAGGTATTAAAAAACCATCAACTTCTTAACATGCTGAACCTAATAGATCAAACAATTCTGTTCATAGTTTTCGTAAATAACCTACTGAAGTTAGTCAAATTCCTAGACCTTTTTCATGTGCTGAATAAATTGAAGAATCACATCATTCCGTAAATTATATTATTTATCATAGTTTTAAAAAGATCTAAGTATGGATATGGGTAATTATTAGAAATAAAGTGGAGATTATTAAGATAATTAACAATAAATTAAAAAGCTATTATAATAATATTAATAAAAACATAGTTTAAATGACACTTTAACTAAAAAATTACTATAAGAATATAAAAAAAGACAAGGATACAACTGCAAAACAATATATTGATAATTAATTAATTTTTATTCATTTATTTTATGGATTCTAATTATATCCTTATTCATTTATAATGTATTAAAATTATTATTAAAATCCTTATTATTCTTAAAGATAATCAGAATCTTAAATAGCCTATGAAATTTATGACTGGACATGTTTTAAAAGACTATATAAGATTTAAAATAAGAGATTAAAAGAATATATGAAAATAGAAAATATGATACTTTTTATTATATATATAATTATATATCATAATGATTCTAATCTTCTTGCTGTATTTTCTTCTAACCATTTTATAAATGTTTTATCTTGGTATTATCCAAATTTTTCTTATTCCAAAAATTGAGAGGCAGCTGTTGTTGCAGCAGATTAATATTCTTCCAATATTTTGATATCAGTACAATCTAATTAAGCTTAACTTTCTATCATAATTATTTTGCAATCTTACCTGGTAAATTGTATTCTGGAACAATACGTAGATATTTTCCTTAATTTTTTTTCAATTCTAAATCCACAAAATCTTAATTACTTTCTCCAAATGCATCTAAAATTCTTACTACTCCCATTATACCTTCATCAATTTATAGATGTTACTTTTATTTTGATACCTAGATTATAAATATAAAACACTTACTCCAGTTGATATACTGAGAACAAAGAAATTATCTTTATCCTTATTAAGCATACCTTTTCTTAAATCATCTAATACCAAATTTGCAGGATTATTCTTACCAACACCCCCATCAATAAATTAATATTCTTTACCAGCTAAAGATTTAATTTAAGCAGCTGGAAAATATGTAGGAGCTGCAGATGTGGCTCTACCAACATCTTTTATAAGAAAGTTTTCTGTCAAATCTAATTTAGCTTTTCTTGAACTAAAAACTTTAGCCATATTGTCTCCTTTATGTTTTTATAGTTTTACAGCAGTTACAATTACATTTGTATGAGGAAGAGTCTCACTCAATTTTGCAGTTCCTGCATATCTAAAATTCTAATGATTTATATTAAATACCTTTACAATACTGATTCAATACCTTTAGCATCATATTTCGATTTATTAATTAAACTCCAAACACCTCTTTTCTATTGATCAAATATGATCTTGCCATCTTCAGTAAAGAATTTAACAAGTTAATCTTTGTCTGCTAATGGATGAACTCCATCTTAAGTACCTGTCATTGCCAAAGCCAATATACCTCCAATAGAAGTTCCACCAACACAATCAAAAATTTAATAAGGTTCTTTTTTAATTTCATTACATATATAATTTATTATGGTTGCTGGCATCAAACCTCTTATACCTCCTCCATCAATTGATAAACCCATTTAACAATAATCTTATACATCTATTCTCAATGTATCTTATCTATAAAATGGATCATTAAAATATATATCTTAATTACATTATTCTTTAATTTCCATAATGTTTTTTATTTTTGATAGTCCAAGTTTGTAAAAAGTTCTTTATTTAATATCATTATTATTAATATTAAGTCTAAATTTAACTAAAGAAATATTAGATTTAAGTAGTTCAACTAATTATTTCATCTATTCTTCAGTTATAGTTGGTAATGTTAAATCTAATGTTTTTAAAGAAGAATAATTAAAAATCTTTAAAAATTCTTCATTATAATGTTCTTCATGTGATAAAATAATCTCTAAACTATTAAGATGAGTATTTTTCATTATTTCTTAAACTAATATAGCTTTACTAGATTTTGCATTATTTTAAAAGTACAATGTAGTTAAAGATTTACTTTTTCCAATTGATTTTGAAAGTAATTCCATTCCTTATTCATTAAAACTATTTTTTCTTAAATCTAAAATTTATAACATATAACTTTAAGCAACAAAATCACAAAAATATTAAATATCTTAAGTCTCATCAAAACAATTCTTTAAGATTGTACTCTTTAGATATAACATATTCTATTCTTTATTCTACCATTATTTCTCTTCAATTTCAGCTAGAATATGAAAATTTGCATCTCCTATCTTATTTCCACTAAGATTTATATTATTAAGAGGAATTTTGGCTAAGTTTCTTCCATCTTCAAATAATTTATTTAAACTTTTCTTAGTCAATTAATTTTAACTCAAATCTATTAATTTTAAATTCTCACATTCCCAAAAATATTCTGCTATTTCCAATAGAATATTATCATCAATACCTGCATTTCTTAATATTAATTATTAAATATTAACTTATATAATATTATTAACTTAAAATATGTTCTTTAAATTCTCTCTTTCTAAACTATTCCCTGAAAAATCAATTTATTATATATGTATTGGTTTATCATTTCTTTAGATTTTTTAAAAGAATTTACCAATTATATCATTTCCTATTACTTTCAAATTAGTAAAACTTATATTCAAAGTTGTTCTATAATTTTAAATTTATCTAATTAATTATGCTATTTTTTCTATAATTTCTTCTTTTGAACATGGAATTGTAAGTGATTCAACATTTAAAAAGAATTACTAAGCAGTTTATTAAATTTTCTAATCCTATTCTTCTATTGTTAAATGAACTGCTTAAACAAAATCATTTAAGAATTAATCTAACATTTTTATCCTTTCTTAACCTCTATTTTTTAACATAGATTTTAAATCAAGTTATTTAATTTATTCATTCTAAAACAAACAAATGAATAAACATTATAATATTTTTTTTTTATTTTATTCATCAAATTTATTTTATAAAAATCCTCTAAATTAAAATTCAAAATCATCACTTATAAAACCATTTTTCAAAAAAAATTATGGAAATGGAGATTTGATATATTAATCCTAATGTAATATTTTATCATACAAGTCACTCAACAATTAAAATATAATTTCTAAATATATTTTATCATAATTAAATTCCTTATCTACATCTATTATAATTTATGGCTATACAAAACCTTTCAAAGAACCTTAAGATGTATGTTCATCAAATAGAATTCTCACTCCTTAAATTATCCAAAGTTATATTATTTCTAATTGTAATTATCCACAACCTTTAGCTTAAACTCTTGTTAATTTTATTTTATTTGTATATACTGTTTAAAGATTCTTGCAATAATTTACATTTAAATTTTATAAAAATTATCCACTAATCTCAATAGCTTTAACATTTGGTAAATTCTAAGCAATTAATGTTTTTAATCTTTAGAATTGGAGTGGTTTCTAATTCCCAATATTTAAGATATTTGAAGTTTAACCTATATAATGTACATTCTAACATCCACTTAAATTTAAAACATGTAATTCAGTACAATGTTATGCTATGTCAAATAGAAAATTATCATTTACAGCATCAACATAAGATAAATTTAGAATTTTAATTCTAATTAATTGCAATGATTAAAATAATTATGGAAATTATTTAGATTATAAATCCTTAAAATTTACTAATTCAAAAGGTTTATTAAAATCTTTTGAATATTCTGATAATTAAGAAAATGCTTATTAAATTTCATTTTCTTTAAAATTTCTCCATTCAAAACTTTTCATTAACATTTAAAAATGTTATTATTTTTTAATAACAGCAAGTTTTTTGTGGAAATTCTATAAAGTGGTAGTTGATAGTAATCTTGAATATTTAAGAAACATTTTTAATCCTTTATATGGACCAATCATATTTTTAACATTAAATCCAGATGGATATTTCATATAAGCAAAACTCTCTCTAAAAGTTATGAAATCAGATAATATTAGACTATCAGAATTAGTAGAAAGATGTGTTAATTCAACAAATTTATTTATTAAATTAAGAGTATGATTTTCTATTAAAATTTAATAAAATTCTCCTAAATTCTTATCACATAATTTTAATAAATCTAAATATGTAATGTGAAAGTTAGGTTTTGTAATTAAATTTTAAATTATTGTAGCTCTCCTAACTAATTCAATCATATTTTCTTTATATAATGGTAATAATAATAATCCCTCTGATTATGATGCAGTAGCCTCAATCTAACTTAATTATTTTAGCCATTATTGAATAGTTAATGTAATATTCTAAAAGTTTTGTAAAAGTTAATAATCTATTTTTTCTTTCATAAATTACATTAAGAAATAGATATTATTACAACATAATTTAACATTCTCACCATCTCTTTCAAATCCATGGGAATTAATAAAATTATCATATTGAGGATTGAAATAGAAATTTGTAGAAACTGGTGATAAGTAATTACCACATGGAACTAGTAATTCTTCATCTGGAGATGTATTTGTTGATAATAATAATATACAAAGTACAATTTTATTAGCTAAATTATAATTACCTATTTTATTTCTTAATCTTTATTCATTATATTCATTATGTTATAAAAATTGAGCTATTGTTACTTTTGATCTTTAATTGTTATTGAATTGATTAATTACTTAATAAACTGAATAGATTTATTATTCACTTTAAATTAATTCAACTCTTGAACTAAATTAATCTAATTATAATAATTGATATAATTAAGAGGCCATAAACTTTTATAAAGGAAAATTAGGTTGAATAAATAATAATTAATTAATGAATGGATCATTAACTTTAAGAACTGAGTAATTCTTATTATTATTCTTATTAATCTATGCAATTAAACTCAATTCTAAATAACTTGGAATTTCTCCTTAATTTCCTAATTGTTTGTTAATAAATATTTATTTATATTATTCATCCTTTAAACTCCAAAATCCACGACCTAATATTTTTAAAGTATGTTCTCCAAAATTTTTAACTATTTGATTCCAAAAATGATCCCATCTCAATCTTCCTTCTAATTATGGATGAACCTTAGCTATCTAATCAAATATTTATTCATGATATTTTGTATCATTTTCTGATAAATTTGAAAAATATGCAGATTAAGAAAATAAATTTTAGGTTTCATCTAAAAGATAATTAAAATATTCAAATCGAATCTTTTATCCTTAATTGTTTTCCAATAATTTTAATAATAAATAAAATTTTTTATGTTTCAAAGCACTCTCCACTAATGTAATATGTTTTCCAAATCCTAAATCTCCTTTAAATGATTTATTCATTAAATATGAAATTAAAATATGAGAATTTTTTTCATTTTCCTATACTTATTCTAATGATTCAAATATATTCAAATTTAATTTTGTATAATTTTCTTTAAAAAATAATATAGCCAATAATTCAACAAAAAGAGTATTATTAAATTAGCATTATGATTAGATTGAATAATTTGCTTTAAATGCCTATTTCCATAAATCTAATTCAAACCAAGAATCATTAAATCCTTTGATAATTGAATCATAAATATACTCTTATTAACTAACAAATTAAGTATCTAAATAGAAATTTAAATTTGCCAAAAAATCTAAAAGTTTAATCCTATTGGTTAAACTAATTTCATATTGGATATCTATTTTTTAACAACAATTTATAATAATATATTTTGGTCCTTACAAATAATATTAAGATAACAAATTAGGATTTTAATTTTATTTCCCTTATGTTTTTTCATGCTACTATTCTAATTGATTTAGATCTTATTTAATTTACCTTATTTAATTATTATATTTGGTTATATTTTTTTAATCAATTATTTTATGAATTAATTCTTCTAAATTTATTTTACTCAAATATTCTTAATATTCATTTAATGTTTAAAATCTACTTGTATCTAATCTTTAAAATTAAAAGAAAATTTAATTCAATTTTTCAGTTATTTAAATTAATCTAACACACAATTACTAAGGAAATATTACTTCTTGAACTGTTATTAATGTATCTTCTAATTTTTTAATTCTTTAGTATGTCAATTATAACATATCCTAAGTTATTTAAAGTGATTTGTATCTAATTATTTGATTCTTTTCTTCTTACTTATAATGAAAATCATTCAATTAAGAGTCTGATAGAAATGATAAGAAATTCAAAAAGTTTTCATATATATTTTATGGTTTAAAATCTTCAAATTCCTATGGACTATATGTTACTTCAAAAATATTTTTTTTATAATACAAGAGTGGATTTTTAAATTACTCATACATAGTTTATTATTGAGGTATATCTTTCTAGAAAGAGGCTTATAGATTTCCATAGTATTATGGAATAAGGCTGTCTAGATGATCAGTACATTATAAAGATAAATAATGTTTTGCAAACTCAATCTTATTAATTACTAAATCTGATTAGGCGACTTTTTCGGTAATGAAGAAATATGAATATTATTTTTTCAACTCCTTGTTTTTTTATTCATAAGTCGATACTCTCATTACAAATCCAGGAGGAAGTTATAGTTGGAAGATCAATGATCTTAGTACATATGATACTAGATATCTTTAATAGTAAAAGATTTCTTCATTATTTTTTAATCTTTTGATTTAATACCCTTAGTTTTCTAGAATTGATATTAAATTCTGATCTCCTTTAATCAATGAAGTAGCTATTTCTTTATTAATAGCATGAATAGTTGTTAAGGGGCATTTTAATAGTGCTTTATCCTCATAATAGGTATTTTCTTAACTAATATAATTTCTTAATTATAAGAGTATCTCATGTAGTGGAGATATGGAATGAATAATTTTAGACATTTCTTAGAGTTGATTAAGGTCAGCTATTAAGACTTATTAAGCTATATCTTTTAAATTCTCTATATATGGTTTTTTGAACTTTTTTAATACATCTTAGAGCTTATTACAAAATATGAGTTCATTTTACTCAATTTAATGATGACTTTTATCAGTTTACTGTAAATTTGAGATAAGACTTTGAAGGATGTTAGAATCATTTGAATTTTTTTTAGCTAGCTTCTGTTGTTCTTCTAAAATATCAGAATATTAGTATTTAAGTTGGGATAATATAAATTTAAGCTTAACTCTAAAATTACTTAGTTTTTGAGGTTAAGCTTAGAGGAGACTATAAAAAGTATTGGCAAATTGTTCTAATTATTTCATTATAGTTGATAATCCTTATCTAATAAATATAAAATTGAAATAATTAAATGGAATTGGCAAATTAAAGATCAACTTTAGAAATGAAATATATTAAGTTATTGAAGGAAACAGAAGAAAGAGAAAAATTAGTAAAGGAAAGTAAATGATCTAATGTTAAATTAATAAGGTAGAGTATAAACAAGGAAAAAAAAGGAAGAGCTTGAGAGATTTGAAGATAACATTAAGAGTTTGAATATAAGGGGTTAATCAGTAGGAGAAATCTTAATGAAGATAAATGATGAAAAATGTATATAGAAAAATAATCTTTTTATCATAGATATTGCAAAATTGAATAGTGGATAAAGATATGTAGTTGGTGCTAAACCTAACCTAGATAGGACAAAATTAGTAATAGGAACTAGAATTGCACTTGATTAAGATACATATACTATTTGTAGAATAATGCCTAGAGAAGTTGATCCTTAGGTATTTCATATGGCACATGAAGATCCAGGAAAGGTGTTATTTGATGAGATTGGAGGATTAAATGATTAGTTAAGAATCTTAAGAGAAGTGATATTTCTTATTTTAATAGGATTATAGACAATTGAATTACCTATCACTAATCCAGAACTATTTAAAAGAGTTGGAGTGAAACCTCCAAAAGGTTGTTTAATGTATGGACCTCCTGGGACAGGGAAAACTTTGATTGCAAGGTATAATATAATTTGAGATTATTGATAGAGCATTGGCTTGTAATGTTTAGGCGAAGTTCTTAAAAATAGTAGCATCTAGTATAGTTGATAAGTACATTGGAGAAAGTGCTAGAGTTATAAGAGAAATGTTTACTTATGCTAAAGAAAATTAACCTTGTATAATATTCATGGATGAAATTGATGCAATTGGAGGAAGAAGATTTAGTGATGGAACTTCAGCAGATAGAGAAATTTAAAGAACTCTTATGGAATTATTAAATCAATTAGATGGTTTTGATGATTTGGGAAAAGTTAAAGTAGTAATGGCAACTAATAGACCAGATATTTTGGATCCAGCTTTGTTAAGACCAGGAAGATTGGATAGAAGTATTAATTTAAATATTTAATATATTAGAGGTTGAAATACCATTACCTAATGAATAAGCTAGATATGATATATTAAAAATTCATTCAAGAAAGATTACAACTAAAGGAGAAGTAGATTTTGAGTAGTTATCAAAATTATGTGAAGAATTTAATGGAGCTGATCTAAGAAATGTATGTACTGAAGCTGGTATACTAATTATAAATTATATTTAGGTATGTTTGCTATTAGAGGAGATAGAGATTATGTAATTGAGGAAGATTATTTCAAAGCAGGTAGGAAGATTAAAGAAGCCAAAAAATTAGAATCAAAACTAGAATATCAAAAAGTTTGAACACTTTATTTTTTATATTCTATAGAAAGTATATTTATATTTAAATCAAATATTTGTGATTGAAAATAATTCTAATTGCATTAAAATTAATTCTTTAATTAATGAATAATAAGGAAGAAATTGTAATTGGATATTTAGAATAAACAGATGATATCCTTAATATAGATGATGAATTACCTTCTTATGCAAATGGATTACCTGTAGAAAATATTAATTAAATTTTAGTATTTTTTAGAGAATGAAGATAAGTTTGAATCAATAAAATGTTAATAATGCGGAAATCAAATGAAAATGTTACTTTAAGTATTATTCTAATTATATTCTTAAGATATATGCTCCATTAAATAAGAAACATGCTTCTTTTAGAGAGATTTATGTATTTCTTTGCTTAAATGAATAATGTTCTAAAAATAATAGTAGTGTTAGAGTTTTTAGAATGTAATCATAATAAAAGCCTTAACTTTTGTAATCTAAAAATAAAGAGTATATACTTTCTCCATAAAATAAATCATTTATAATTGATACTGAGATTATAAATGCTAAAGAGAATAACAATGAACTTTAAGTAGCTGAAGAACTATTACCAACTAATTTTGATGATGAAGATAAAGATGTAGATTTGAAGAATGTTAAATTTGATAATGAAAATAAAATATATGAGAACTATTTAAAGAGTACAGAAGAAAAAGAAGATATTAATGAACTAGATGGTTTAGAAAAAGATCAACAAAATAATATTGATGGTTGTTTTCTTATTTATTAACAGTATTTGTAAAAACATATAATTTAGTTTTCTAACATAATATCCAAATCATATTGTGAGATATTGTTTTGATTCTTAAAGTAAACCATTATGGTTTAGTGATAAAAAATAACCATAAATTGAATCAAAATGTCCACATTGCAAAAAGAATAAGATATTCGAATTCTAAATTAATAATTCTATTCTTACTTACTTTCCTGAATTGTATAACTTAGAATGGGGAGCATTATATATTTACAGTTGTCCTTCAAGTTGTTAAGTTGGTGGTTAAATACTAATTGAAGAGACAATATATGCTCATTCAGATGAATAAGAATTTATTAGTCCTAATTTAAAAGTAGATCCAAATACAAAATTAGTCAGCATCAATACAAATAAATCAAATAAATAAAAATAATAAATATAATAATAATAATAATAATAATAATAAATTCAATAAAAGATAGATGAAAAAGATGAAGAAGATGATGATTGGTGATTAGATTCTATGTATTTACATTATAATATATTATATAATTATTACTATTAAAATTTGATCTATTACAATGATCAATGTTCAAAAACTACCAACATTTCAGGATCTAATGTTGCTCCATCTAATAATTATAATTTTTTCTCTTAAGTAAAATCACTTGGATAATATTATGTAGATGATTTCAATTTATCAAGTAGTCCCATTTCTTTATATGCTTTTGCAACAAGTTCTGAACAAAAATATGTTCTTTTTTTTTCCTCTTCTTGAGTTTAATGAGGAACAATTTATGATATAGTCTTAAAGAGTTTTGAAGGAGTAAGACCATATTCATTTCCTAAATTATTTAAAATAAATTGTTTTAATTTTTATTATACTTCTTGTGTATACTTTTTTGTATAATTTAATTTTCTGATACATATCTTTTCATAATAATCTTAATAGTGCTTCTCAACTAAATCAGCTTTAAATATTAATATTTTATTTACTCCATGGAAATGTACCAACTCCTGTTTATACTGCTTCAAATACAAATAAAAATCCATTATCTCTGTAGAGCATACAAACATGATCATATTCACACATTGTTATTGCTCTTAAAACTTTTGTCGTATTATCTTTAGATTTAAATAATGCTATATCACCATCTTAACAATCACTTAAGACTTTAGAAGTTTTGATTTAAGAGTTTTTCCAAAATCTAGGTATTTGAATTAAGAAATTCAATTATTTTTAATTTCCAATAGAGTCATTTAAATGAATCTGTATTTATAAAGCCCAAAGATGAGTAGTTTCTGGTTAGGCAGCTTAAAAAACAAATTCTTTTTAAGTACCTTTAGGGATTAAACTAAATGATTTTGTTTATGATACGTAAACTGTATTGTTTGATGTCTCTCATTTTGTATTTGTCTGTATTCATATGCTTATAAATCAAAGTCTAAGGATCCCTCTAATTCTAATTTATTATCAGATTTATAATAAGAAAAAACTCTATTTTCCAATTCACAATATTTTTATTAATATCCAATAAGAAAATGAGGACTTTTCTTTTGTAGATTACCCTTCATAGATGTACAATTTTATTATCTTTTGAACATAAGATTAAACCATGATTCATCAATTTTTAAATTTTCATTAGTTTAATTTTCGATATTTTAAACCTTTTGAAAACCTATTATTTCTGATCGGTTCTTTGATGAAATTGCCAACCCTTTTTAATAAGATGGGCTCCCTATAATAATACTATTTTTATTCATAAAATAAATAAATATATTATCTAAAACATAAAAAGAAACAAGATTTTAGTTAAATTAAATATGATATAATAAAAAATAATAAAAATGATGATATTCTTAATAATAAAAGATAAGGTAATGAAAGATAGAATTATTAATATAATATCTATATAATTGGAATTTTTATAATCTAAAATTAATGAAATATTTGTATATGAATGAGATTAATATTATAAATTAAATAAACAATATTTATAAGAGATATTCTAAATATAATAATTATTAATTATATGCAGATTAGAAAATCAAATAAAGTAGTAGTGAATAGAATTGAAAAAGTGAATTCAGAATTATTGACTTTAACTTATGGTGCCATAGTTTCACAAATTATTAAGGATAGTGATACTGTTATTGAAGCAAATGAATAATTGGAAAAAATGGGTTATAATATTGGATAAAGAATTATTGATGAATACCTTTCCAAAGCAGAAATTAAATAATGCAGAGATAAAATTGATGTTGCAGAAAATATTGGCAAGGTTTGTATCTATTTTTAAGATAGGGAGCTATGTAAATGTTTCTTGGAGTAACAGCTGAAGTAGAGGTATTACCTGAGACTGATAAGATATTCACTTTTAATTTACATTTCGTTGAAAATCCTTTAAATGATTTTGTTGAATTACCAGAACATTTATAAGGACTCAATTATTCAAATATGATTGCAGGAGCTATTAGAGGAGCTTTATCAACAGTATTTATTTATATTTTATATAGATTCATTGGATAGCTACTTGTAGATTCTTAAAAGATTAATTGAAAAATGATGATAAAACTATTTTGTAAGTTGAAATGATTAGAGAAAAGTTCAAAGATGATGAATGATTAATATAATATATATTTTAATTTATGTCAACATATAGGGGAACATTTGAACATGATTCATTTTTTGGATGGCTGAATCTATTAAAGATTAGAAGATTATAGGTACTCTATAATGTTGGTGAAAGACCACCTTATCCAGTAATCATTAGTAAGCCTACAGTTGGAGATGTAAATTTATATCATATATTGGAAAAGGTATTGAGAAATTTGAACAAAGCAGATTTTGGTCTATTTGCAACAGTGGCATTTTTAGGATTCTTTGCTGCAAGAAGAGCCACTTTAGGATTAACATCTACTGAATATATTAGATAGAGAGGATTCTCAATTGCTTGGAATTCAATTATGATGGCAGGAGCATTATTTGCTTGCATGAATAGTAACAATAGACTTACTGTACATTCCTATTAATGATTTAGGGATTTGTGGACAATGGATTACAATGGAGAAGAAAGGAACAAAGATTAACCAAATACGATTTCACATCTGAATTCGAAGAAGGTACTATTTGGAAATTCTTCAGATTAAGATGACATTAAATCATATATTCAATGCATATATTTTCATTATTATTTTATTGTTATCAATATTATAATTCAATATTAATATGTAAGTCATTAAAAATTTTAATTATTGATTTAATGCAATAGCAATAATAGTAAGAGATGTTGAAGAATTTAACTAATTAATAAGTTGTATAATACAACAAAATGAGACAGGATTATGCTGAAATATTCAGAGTCTATCTTGATATTGAAGATGAAAGAAAGGAGCATACATTAGTTTTGGATGCAGTTAAAAATATTGATCCAAAGAGAAGGTGAATTATACTATCTATTATAGATGTTGGAGATTGATTGGTGGAGTTCTTGTAGAAAGATAATTGGAAGATGTTTTGAAATCTTTAAAGGAAAGTTTAGAATTACTTGAAAAGACAGGATAAAATTACAACACTGCTATGAAATAAAAGTATGCAGATTATATTCAGATTATTTTAGAGAAAAAGAATTACTTGATTTTGAATTAGCTAACAATTTGAGACCATAATAAAATCAACAATAACAATAATAACCTGTAGCATCATCCAAAACATAAGGAGTTTTAACTTGAAGCATCATTGTGTTTTATATTCATAATATTAATAAATATAATTCAATTTATTTATTCATTTTCTATTCATTACATATATAATTATTAACAAATCAATATTACTATCATTAATTAAATTTCAATATATAATATATACTATATACATATATTTAAATAATAAGACTAATTTGAATACTCATTTAATATATTTCAATTGATATTTCTAATATCTATTTTATTTATTCAATTATAATGATAAATTATAAATATTATTAATATAATTATGCATCAACTATGTAAACTATAATTTTATTATTGTACATTAAAATTATTATTCCTTTTACCTGAGACAACAAAAATTATAATAATCATGTAATATTTTATATCGTATAAATTAGATTATTTTTAGTAATAATAAGACTTCAATCAATTTATTTCAAATAACAATAACTCTATTTTTAGTTCTATATTTTCCTTCACATATTTAATCAATATTTTTATTTGATCTGTTATAAGAACATCAAAAAGGATACCATTCTTATTTTATATTTGATATCTTTCAATGATATTTACAACATTCACAAATTATTATATTTCTAATGATTTTCAATATGTTTCAAATATAGATTTCTCATACCTTAATTAAATATAAGTAGAATTCTAAAATAAAATGAAGTATAAGTGATTATCACTCTATTCAGATTTGAATCAAAAAGTAATTATATATCAATATTTATTATCGTTTTTTTAACAATGAATTAACTCATATTTTCCTTATTGATTGTCACAATTCTCTGTGGTTAAGAGTAAGGTAGTTTCCTTTAAGAGAAATAAGATAACAAAATATTCACCATAAAATTAAAGGAAACTCATAAAATTGTATGTTATCCATTTGAAGTCTTAGGTGACAGCTAGAGAAATGTATGATTTTCTATCAACTAAATAAACATATTTTCGATAACAAACTCCAATTGACATATAAGAAATAGAATTCGGTGGGTATGTTCCAAAACCATAATAAAAGGAGTAGAAAAAAGAAACATCTTTGAAATTACATAATTTTAAGAATACTTAATTTACTGGACCCATTACAGTAGGCGATTAAGAATTTTAAGTGATATTTGATACTGGTTCTGCAAACTTTTGGATAGACTCTACTAAATGTAAGAATGAAGGATGCAAACAACATACATAATATAAACCAAGTTTCAGATCTAAACATTTAGGATATGCTTTGAATGTGTAATTTGGTACTGGTGATTTAAATGGTGAAATAAATTCAGATGTTGTAAAATTAGGTGAAATAGAAGTTGAAGACCAAAATATTGCAGAAATAATAGAAGAAAATGGTTCAGTTTTTTAAAATGTATGAAAGTTAAATAATTGCAAAGTCAGGTTTCGATGGTATAGTAGGATTAGCTTATCCAAGTATGGCAGCCTATAATTTTAATCCATTGTTTGACAATATCATCCAAGAGAAGAAATTAAAATCTAACTAATTCTCATTTTATATGAGTAACTAAGTCAATAGTTATGAATCCTAAATTACTTTTGGTGGTTATGATGTCACTAAACTTGATGGTCCAGTTCATTATCATCCAGTTATTGATAAATATTATTGGATGATAAAGGCTGAAAATATATTAGTCAATGGAAAAGATGAGGGGTTTTGTCCTAAAGGTTGTAAAGTAGTAGCTGATACAGGTACTTCTCTTATAACAGGTCCTTTTGAGGATTTGATGAAATTGTTAGGTATTATTATAGTTACATATTAGATTTAACTAATATAAATGATGATTGCTCAAATTTGAATGAGTTACCTAAATTAACATTTAGAATTGATGGAGTTGATTATGATCTAGAATCTAGAGATTATATAATGGAATTAAAAGATGATGGTACAGAAATACCTTTAAATAATGATGTTTCAGCATCAGCATTTATTTAAGGAACTTCTAAATAATGCATAGGAGCATTCATGCCATTGGATATTCCAGATCCTCAAGGACCTGCTTGGATTTTAGGAGATATTTTCTTAACTAAATATTTGAGTATTTATGATAGGGATACAAATATGGTTGGATTTGGAAAGGCTAAACATTGATTAAATCAATTTATGTTACAAAAATTAATTTTATTGTTTTTTAGATGACAATATAAAACTGGAGATATATTTTAACTCTTTTTAATAGTTCTTGATAATCTATAAATTATTCATTTTATTTTTGAATTTCAGTTCATCTCTTTATGAAATTAAATTTTTGTTTTCTTTTCTGTAAATTTCAATTATTATATATTTAATACTTAAGCATTTTTATTTGATTTAGTAATGAATTCTTATATTAAATGATTTGAGAATCTGAATTAATCTTATAAATTAATCATGTACTTATGTGAATACATTGTTATTCATAAGAATACAGGCTTTGTAAATGTCAAATGAAACTAATTAAAGAGTCCTTTTGATAAAAATTATAAATTAATATCTTTAAGAATTTAGAATGATTTTTTTAGTTACCGACAATTTTACATCATATATAAAAATTTTAGTGCGCATTATTTTTTGATATAAAAATTGGAAGCAGAATCTTGTAAAATGCAATTAATATATAATCTTTAATGAAAGCAGCTCCACGCATCTATGAGAATCAACCAGGAGAGAAAGTTGATAACGCAGACTTCTTTATACAACAATACTACATCGAATGTTTGTCCACATTTTCTTATTACATTGAATCTAAAGGAGAAGCTGCTGTAATTGATCCCTTGAGGGATATTGAATAATATGTGTAATACTTATATATTTATTGATAGTGAATTAGCCAAAGAAAGAAATGCTAATATTAAATGGGTACTTGAGACACATTTTCATGCAGATTTTGTGAGTGGACATAGAGAATTAGCAGCAATCACTGGAGCCACTATAGTATATGGTCCAACAGCAGTTGCAAATTTCCCTATGAAATAAGCTAAAGATGGGGAATTGTTACCACTTGGATTAGTCTAGATAAGAGTTGATCACACTCCAGGACATACAATGGAATCCAGTTGTTTTGTTTTAGTTTCTAAAGGAAAAGACCATTCAGTCTATACAGGAGACACATTATTTTTGGGTGAAGTAGGCAGACCTGATTTGGCTGTGAAGAGTGGAGAATTGACAGTTGAGATGTTGGCTTCATATCTCTATGATTCATTAAGAAATAAGGTTATGAAATTAAATGATGATGTAATTGTATATCCAGGACATGGTGCAGGTTCATCATGTGGCAAAGCTATTGGAGCAGGAAAGTATTGCACTATTGGAATTTAAAAATAAAAAAATTATGCTTTGCAACCTATGTCAAAGGAAGATTTCACTAAATAAGTTCTTGAAGGTATGCCAAAACCACCTCAATACTTTTTCCATGATGCCAAACTTGTAATTTTATAAATCTCATAATATCTAGAATAAAAATGGACCAGCTGATATCACTGTTTTATTAAATGATGTTTAAAAGGCATTGACTTTTGAATAATTTATGGGCTTTGCTAAATCAGGAGCAACCATATTAGATACAAGACCAAATGTAGCAGATGGAATTATAGATGGAGCTATCAATATTACATTTATGTCAGGATTAGTCAATTTTGTAGGAGCTGTTATTAAACCAGATACTAAATTAATAATTATAGCTAATTAAGGTGAAGCATAAGACACAATTCTCAGATTATTAAGAATTGGATATGATAATATTTTAGGCTATTTATAAGGAGGATTTGAAGTTTATAAAAATAATGGAGGACCATTGGCAACAACTGTAAAATTAGTCAGTCTTGTTGAATTTTGTGATGTCAAAGCTGATCCAGGTATTATAATTTTATCTATAAATAGAAAAACATGCATTTTTAGATGTTAGAGGACCAGGAGAACATAAAGAGACAGGAATTATAAAAGGAGCTATTAGAGTTCCATTGCCTGAAGTAGAAGCTAATCTTGCTAAGATTCCTAAAGATAAGATTGTTCATGTTTATTGTAAAACAGGAGGAAGAGCAAAGATTGCAATGAGTCTTCTCGTTAAAAATGGTTATAAGAATCTTGTAATTACATAAGAGGGTGGTTTTCCTTCAATGAAAGAAAAATAATTGGTAGAAGTTGAGAACATTTGATATTGATAAAATATTAATATTAAAAAGTAATTTAACAAATTAATAACATTATTATTTAAATTTGATTTAAAGAATTCACATATATAGGAATGGTTAGGATTATATAAAATTAGATAATATCTTCTTTAAGAAATATATAAAATTAAAATATAAATTATAATTTTTGTACACAAACCAATACTCTCATTATTATTTGCATTCTGGTTTTTCAGCTTTTCCTTTTTTATCTTTATCAGACTTTTTACTGTCACCACTCTTCTTTCTTTACTAATAAAATTTATATAATAAAACTTACACTCTTTTTCTTTTTATCATCACCTTCATCATCATCATCTTCTTCATCTTCATCATCCTCATCATCTTCATCTTCATCAACATCTTCATAATCTTCATCATCTGGATTAATTCCTAAGAAATATTCTAAACTATAAGGTATGACTTCTTCTGCTATTGTCTTTCCAATTTCATAATCTTCATCAATATTCTATAAATTATTATAAATATTTAATACTCCAGCTTTTCCTTCTTCATCTCCTTCATCCTTATCTTCTGAATTCTTGAAGAAATTGAAGAAACTTAATTATGTTTCCTTCTTTTTGATTACTCTAGATGCTCCTGTCTTCTTATTTTTTTATTTCTTAAATATTAATAAATCATTTACTTTTTCTACTATCTTAACTGTAACATCTTTGCCTTCATTCCATTCTATTACAGTTCCAACTGTACTTGTAGGGAAATCTTTGCCTTCTTCAATAATAAATTTCTTTGTCAATTCTTTATTCTTGAAATATTCATTATCTTTAAATGTAAATCTAAGAGTGAAGACTTCAGTATCAGCTGAGGTTTCCAAAACAATTGAAGTTAAGTATTTAAGGATGTCTTTATCCTTTTCTCCAAAAACATGAGATAAATTATCGCAATTTGTTAAGACAGTTCCCCAATAATTATCAATTGGTTCTGTTTTTTAGGCAATTTAAAGAGCTTCTTATAATTCAGCTTCAGAAAAGAAATCCTTAAAAAGTTCTTGTTCTTCTGCACTTACAGCTCTTTAACCATTAATGAGAGATTGTTATTCTGCATAGATTGGTAATGATTTAATATCATATTGTTTTTAAACAGCATGAATCTTCTCATCACATTCCTTGTCTAATTTCTCTTTTTATAGATAATGATGTTAGATGGCAATAGCTTTGAGTCTATCCTTTAGAGGAAGTTCTCTAATCTTATTTTCTAAGGTTTGAACATGTAATTCATGTCCTTCTTTTGTTTCATTTGTAGTTGGTTAAGCTCCGCCTTCCATTAATTTATAAAAAAATGTGGATTTAAATATTTCATATATTAAGGGGGTATTTAATTTTTCGAAAATATTTATCATAACCTAATCATTATTTCTAAATGCTTGAAATCATTAATTTTTTATAGAAATGGAATATCAATCTGTTCCTTAAAGTGAATAATACCGATATGAAAAAGCTTAAGTTGATTCATCATTGCTTGGAGATGCCTAAAAGAATTTTGCTAAAAAAGTCTTCTCTATTGTAGGCTTTTAACTTATGGCTACATCATTAGTAGCATATGGGGCAATGAGTTTTAAGTTTATCGAGACATTATGTGAAATTCTTTATATACCTGCTGTTATTGCTACTATTGTAACAGGAATATGGTTATACTTAAGCAAATGTAAATTTAAATTTTTATGAATTTCTATCAAGCTTCAGCAAGAAAATTTCCATTAAATTATATTTTACTTAGCGTCTTCACTTTAAGTGAAGCAATTGCTTTAGCCATTACATGCGCTTAAATCAGTGATCCAGAACTAATCTTCTAAGCATTCTTAATTACAACAGGTATTGTTGTTGCTTTAGCCACGTATGCTATGACAACTAAAAATGATCTCTCATATCATGGAGCAGCTAGTAAATATATATTCAATAACAAATTATAGTTTTTCTATTTTCATTTGGTTGCTGTATAGCTGGAATCACATATTTCATCTTCAGAAGCTCTTTTGCATATTAAATTTATTTGATTGGAGGTGCAATAATGTTAGGATTTTATTTGGTATAAATTAATAATTAATATAGGTATATGACATCTAATTAATCATTGGAGACAAACAACTAAGATTAACTGTAGATGATTACATTTTGGGATCAATTATGATATACACAGATATAATCAAAATTTTTATTAGAGTTCTAAAAATCTTAATGAAAGAGAAGAAAGAAAAATGAGATTTATTCAATCTTCATTAAATTCAATTGCAATATAATTTAAATAATTACTCATTAATTCCACTATTATTATCAATCTTCAAATAATTTATATTGATTTTTATATATAAAACATAAAATATAGTTTTGTTTCTATCATTAAATCTGTTTCTATTATACAAATCAAATAATAATCAAAGTATTTTAGATCTAAGATGATAAGAAATCTATTATAATACTTAATAATTAAGAATAAAATCATGACTACTAAATATCAATGAAATAAAATTCTTTAATTATTTTAGAGAGTAAAACATGAAAATTTATAATATCAATAATAATATATTTTAGGAGTATAATTAATTATAGAATTTGATTAATATATATTCAATTAGTAAGAATTCATTTGATTAGAATTCTAAAATTAAATAATTTTAATTATTATAAATTTTATTTCTTTACTCTTAATTTAATAATCATTTAAGATGAATAAACATGGATGTTGGATTTTCTAAATATGTTTTCCAAACATTATTAAATCTTGCTACAGTTGCTCCATCAATAACCCTATGATCACAACCGAAACTAAGGTTCATCTAAATATAAAATTTAAATAATTACAATTTTCCTTGGAACAATATTCATCTTAGCATCATATCTTGGCACAGTCATCAATCTACCAATACCAACAATACAAACTTATGGAGCAAGAATAAGTGGACCAGTATATGTACCACCTATTGTTCCAATATTACTCAAACATATTGTGCCTCCAGATAATTCATTAAAACTTAATTATCCCTTTTCTCCTAAAGTTCTTAATCTATATTATATTAAGAATTTAAATTACCTATTCAATTCATCTTAGATTTAACTAATTGATAGATTCTATACATTTTTAATATTAGGGACCACTAAACCTTTAGGAGAGTCTAAAGCCACAGACACATTATGTGATGAATGTTATGTATATTCAAATTACTTTGTTGTATCATATGTTGAATTTAATATAGGATATTTTGTCAAAGCCAATGAAAAGGATTTAATAAGTAGAGTCATGAATGTAATATTCTTTTCTTTTTTCAACTATTCTCTCATTTATGCAAGTTCTGTGAGATCAACTTCTTCTTTTAAATATAAATGAGGAATGGAATTAGCCTCAGTCATTGATTTTTGCATTCCCTTTTAAAAATCTGACATTTTGATAACAGTGGATGTGGATTCACTTTTGATGTTAATTTTAGTGGATGATTATGGTTGTTCTTTTGGTGATTGTACTTATTTTTCAAGATCTGTCTTTAATATTCTTCCATCTTAGCCACTACCTTAAATCTTATTCAAATCTATTCCTTTTTGTTTTGCCAAATGACGAACAGCTGGTGTTGCTAATTTATGATTCTATAGATAATTAATCTAATTATACTGAAGGAGTATTATTAGTTTGAATAGTTTAATGTATTTCTTATTGTTTTGTGTCTTCTTATTTCACTTAATGATGTTAAGGCTATGAAGATGCTGATTCTTGAGTATCAGATTCTACCTCTATTTCTAAGAAATCTCCACCCACTAAACAGGTTTCATCTTCTTAGTGAAACAATTTATGAATCTTCCCTGTGTAATTACTTGGAATTTGAGTGAACATCTTATCTGTAGAAACATCCGCAACAGGATCGAACTATTATCAAAAAAATGACGTACTTCATTTACTCGATCTCCTATCTTAACATGCCATTTTTTTATTGTGGCTTCCTTGATTTCTAAATTCATAATAACATTTACTTTCACCCAAATCAGGTAACTTAAAGATCTTCACTGTGCCAAAGTAATATCTACTCAAAAATCGTGAATATATATTCATTATTTAATAATAATTTATTTCTCATCTACAATAACTTGATACTCACAAACTTAATCAGCATTAATTGATATTATTAGCTTTGTTTACCATCTTAAAGTTTAAGTGTATATATTACTTTTATAATAAAAGTCTAATTGAATAAGAGATCAGAAAATTTATAAAATTTTTTGTAAGTATTTTTTCATTATTTCTGTTATAATGTAGACTATTTAAAATCAAAGTTATGAAACTCTTTATTAAAGAATTCAATTTATATAATCAAAGTAAATACATAGATATTTTTAAAGTAATACATTTCATTATTTATATGTAAAATATTCATATAAAATCTACAACATATTATGAATATGCTACTCTATCTTGATTGAAGAACTTACTTTTTAAATGTTTTTATACGGTTTTATAACTTTATAAATAAAATTACATTAAAAAATTAACATTTAGAAATTTGCATTACATAAATAATAATAAATTTGAATTCAAATGCTTGATAATTGGTATGCCATTTCCAACCATTTTTTAGTGACTCCATTAGAAAGGGACTTCTCTACACTCCAACTATGGGAGAATAAGTTGATGAGGATATTGTAGCTTCATTTGAATAAAAAAGAGGAATCAATTATTAACATGAATATATGAGACTATACATTGCTAATGTAGTCTTGACTCAATAACTAAAAGAATTGCTTTCAGAAAAAGGAGATTTAGTATCCAAGATCAATAGACTAGAAGTATTTACTTAATAAAATATTAGGAAGCAGAAATATGTAAAACTAATTATAGAAAACTGGATTTTGAAGACTCAAAAAAATCAGATGGACCCTCAAAAAAATAAATGGGTACTTTATTTATAATTATCATTAGTTCAGAAGGTTCAATTAAATACAATGATGAAAATGTAGTACCTAATCATCAATATCAAACTAGAAAATTAATTAAGAAGAATTGAGTTATTTTAATCGATATTATTCAATTCTGCATATAATTCTTCATTAAATAAACTATTTAATTATATTTATTTTTCATTTAATTAAATCAGTAAATCAATAAAATAAATTATTATAATGATTCATCTTTATCTATTTTAATAACTAGTCAAAATTACTATTATATTTAATGTGTATTTTCTAAAACAATATAATAATTTATATTAAAAAATTGTGATACAAAAATATATTTTTGAAATATTTTAATAAATCAAGAAAAGGGATTAGTTTTCTAATTATCCTACCATTATTGATTATACGTGTAGGGATTATCCTAAATTGCCCTTTTAGAAAGATCATTATCAATATCAAAAAATGGGTTTTATGATCCTGGTGGCTGTATTCTATTTAATGGAGTATCAAATTATTATATTAATTATGACTATGGCTATTATAAACTAGGTCGTTGATTTAGATATTATTAATTAGCAAAAGGATTATTATTATTACCAAAGTTCGTAGGGCTTATTATTAAACTTTGTGCATACTATTGTTGTTATTATCTATTATTCTACATTTGACTTTATCTTATATCAGTCATCATTTAAAATCCAACATCATCAAATGGTTATTAGAAATTTTACTAATTAAATAAATTATTGTTTATAGATTATCTTTATGTTGGTGTCATTGGACTAACAAATTATTATTATTATTAGTTAACAAAATTACTTTAAAAATTATTCATTTATGTATTAATTTATTATGGAATTATAGAATTATTTTAATATCCATTAGAGTTGATTGGTTAACTTTATCCAAAAGGATTAAATTTATTATTTAAATCCCATTAAGGAGTTTATTATGGAGGTGCAAATTATGATTATGATTATGATTATTATTAATTTAATTTCTCTTTTTCTTTCTCTTTTTCTTTTTCTTTTTCTTTTTCTTATTCTTTTTCTTTTAATTCTTTTAATTCTTTTTCTTTTATAAATTCTCTTTCTAATAATGTTGCCATTTCTTTTTAATCTTTTAATAAATCAATAATAGGCTCTTATTCTGGATATTTAAATTTATTAAAAGCTTTTAAATTCTTTTTCACAATAGATTTAGCATTCATATATAAATCATAATTAATATTAATAAACTAAATAATTAATATTATATACTGTATCGAGACTTGAATTTATTATTTTAAAATAGTTTCCCAATAATTTATTCATATTATTTAATATCTCTGAAAGTTTTTATTTATAGTTGGTTTCAGAACTGGAAAGCTTACTTTAATTCTAACAGTATAATCTAATTTAATTACTCTTCGAATTTTATCAGATAATTTGAAATCTTCAGGTTGTCCTTTCTATAAAGCATTTGATTTATCTTTTTCTAATTCTTCTACTTTCATTTTGTAATGATCATAAACTAAACGAATTTCTTAGAAATTGGCTAATTGTACTTTCAAAGTTTCAATCATTTGAAACCAATCTAAGAAATTTTTATTTATTTCTTAAACTGGTTCATTCTAACTTTTACTTATTAAGATACTTTTGATCTAAATAATTCTGATAAATTCCCAAACATAGATGCTACTTCAATTCCAATTCTTTTGTTTGTGTCTGTTTCTCTTTCAAAAAGTTTTGATGATATAGCACTGATCTTTCCCATATGTCCATGCATTTCTATATGATTTTTGAAATATCTACATTAAAATAAGGCACTAACATTGCTAAAGGATTAATTTAATCCTTTAATATATTAATCTATTTCATTAATCTTTTATTTCTTTGCTTCCAATTAGGGATCTACTGTTACTTTGGCTCCCCACCATTCTTTTATCTAAAAATAAATTTAACATTAACTTTTTAGCCTGTTCTTGAAGCAAAACTAGACATTTAATAATTTGAATAAATTTATAATTCAATAAAGTTAGAAAATAAATTTTAAGACGAATAAATTTTGAGAGTTTATAGGTTGAATAGAATTTCAATAAATATACATTATTTTATTAATCTACTCTTATTTGAAATAGATAATTGTTAATAAATTATTTATTTTACAGATATCAAAATTTAATTGTCTTTTATTTCTATTATTCTTTCTTATTATTTTAAAGTTTGATAAATTAATAGAAATGTTTAGAATAATTTAGATATCCTTTTATTATTCAAATTTAATTGATCAATATATACTAAATCTTAAGTTTATTAATACTGATTGAACATGAGAATAGATAGAGAGTAATTTGAAAATATGAAAAGAGTTAATACACAAAAATAGCGTCATCTCTGTTATAAGAATGTATGATTAAGATATATACTTATTTGTTTGAAGTTCGCGCTCTTTTTAGTGAAAAGAAAAGATTTAATTTTAAAAATTAAGTATCTAATATTAGGGAATAGAAACTGTTAAAAATCCTTATGTTCTGAGATTGTAAGTAGTTTGTTGTATTATTTTTAACTCATTTTGATTAATTTCATTCATATTTGACTTTTTTGTTTAGCAATTAAACCAATGGATTTGGTTGATAACTGGTATTTTGGATCTATTTAACTTACTCACCTTAAAACTTTTTATGCTATGGCCAGAAACCATATTTAATTATGAATTCTTTCTTTTGGTTTTCAAATTCCTATACATATTTTATACTAATTAACTTGTCTCAACTTTTTATATTCATCGGCAGCTTTCTCTTTCAAGGCCGAATTTGAACCCCATTCGAATTTAATAGTGCGATCTATCTATGTTCCATTGTACTCGGGATGGGTCATCTCAAGATGCTACCTCATTTGTTTTTGGAAGCTTGGAGACATTATAAATTATTAAACATTATCATAACAGAAGGAGGAGGTTAAGGTACAGGGACTCTTTCAGTATCATTTATGTTCACAAACCCATTTTTTTAGAAATACTTATGTGTATTCATTCTTTCTTTGGCTTTCCATTTTAACTTAATCAATTTAATAAGTTCTTCTGTTGTTCTTTTAGGGTATTGTTATTATAGAATAACAAATTGCTCATCATAAAATTTACGATATGCTGAACTTTGCTTAATAGGAGTAGGTTAATCAAGTTGCAATTACTTGAGTCTCTATTTTTACATTTTAATTAAAATACTAAAATTAAACAACTATTTTATTTAATTAATTATGAAAATAATGATATTAGATATACATGTATTAGATATATGTTTTGGAAGACAATAAAAAGGATTTGAATAAAAATGAGAAAAGGTTTTTTAAAATATAAATAATTATAAATAAATGAAAAAGATATTCATTAAGATGCACTTTAATTACTCTTCTCTCAATTTAAGAATGAATAATATATGATTGTCATTATGATTTATTATTTATTTAATTAAAATTATCTAAATGAGTGAATCAAGTAAATATAAGATAATATAATACATTTAGATTCCACTCTCTTTTATGCTGGAATTACATTGGCATCTGGATTGATCACAGATTTTCTAATAAATCGATTAAATAGAAAGTAGATAGAAGAGGATCCAAAACCTATAAGGAGTCTATAACTTAGAAAGAGATCATTTGGTATTATAAGATATTAATATAGTCAACTCAAAACAGGCTCCAGTTCCAGAGGCACTCTTAAACTCTGAAAATCCATTACTTGATGAAATTAAATTCTTAAATAGTGCCACATGTGATATTGAGAGAGTGAATCATCTTTCATTAGGATTAGATGATGAATTTCCAAATATTAAATCACCATTGTTAGGTGAAGGCAATTTGAGATCGGTCTTTGGAGGAGGTGGATTTTTACCAGATGATGCCTTTATCTATTGTGGATCATATGTAATTAATACTGCTGTATTTGGTCCTGGTAAAAGAATAGATTAGACAAAGAAATGGTTGAGAGCAGGACCACGTAAATCATTATTCTTTGATCCAAAAACAGTGAAGGTATAAATATTTTAATATGTAGGCTGCAATAGTAACATGTGGAGGATTATGTCCAGGATTGAATGTGGTAATTAGAGAATTATATATGTCATTGCATTACAATTATGGAGTTTAAGATATTTATGGAATAAAGTATGGATATAAAGGATTTTATACATATGATTGGATAAAGTTTGATGCAAATTATGTTAAAAATATACATAATTTGGGAGGAACTATATTAGGTTCATCAAGAGGAGGATTTGATTTAAATAAAATTGTAGAGGCAATAGTTAATCATGGAATTAATTAAGTATTTTGTTTAGGTGGAGATGGAACTCATGGAGGAGTCTTAGAATTGTTTAAAGAATTAAGAAAGAGAAAACTTAAGATATCAATTGTTGGTATACCTAAAACTATAGATAATGATATTGCTATTATTGATGAATCATTTGGTTTTGAAACAGCTGTTGAAGTAAATACAATAATATATATATAATTAGGAAGCAATCAATGCTATTAAATCAGCATATGTTGAAGCTAATTGTGCAGAAAATGGTGTGGGATTAGTTAGACTAATGGGTAGAAATGCTGGATTCATTGCTATGTCTGCATGTAATGCCTCAAGAGATGCACATGTATGTTTGATACCAGAATTCAAATTTGAATTATATGGAGATAGAGGTCTTTTGGAATACTGTTATTAAAGACTTAAGAAGAAGGGCACTTTAGTTCTTGTAATTGCTGAAGGAGCTGGTGATGCTATGTTAGATTATAAAGTGAATGTTTTGGAAACTGATGCTTCAGGTAACAAAAAACCTTAGGATGTTGGAGTCATTGTTAAGGATGAACTTACAAAATATTGCAAAAACAAAGGAATGGGTATCACTCTTAAACACATTGATCCTACATATATGATCAGAACAGTTCCTGCTAATCCTCATGATAAAATTATGTGCACTTAATTAGCTCAAAATGCTGTTCATGGTGCTATGGCTGGTTTTTCAGGATTCACTGTTGGTCATGTTAATAATAGATTAGCTTATATTCCCATTGAAGAGTTACTATCAGGAAAATATTCGAATAGAGTTGTTGCTGACAGTCGAGAATGGCAAAGATTGTTAGCCAGCACTGGTTAACCTTCATTTTTGAATAATGAAGAATAGATGATCTAATAAAAATAATAATAAAATTGAGAATATTGAAAAAGCATAATATCTATTAAAAACACAATTTATAACATTCTTTATGAATAATATTCGCTAATCAAATGAACTATAATTTATTAAGAGAAAGTCACCTTATCTATTACAGAAAGCACCACAAAAACTAGTCAAAATATCAACCATGTCTTAAACTTAATTTAAAGAATTTCTTGAATCTTTGTCACTCAATTTTACACAATTAAGTCAGAATCTACAATAAATGCTCACTCTATATAATGTTCAAATATTCCATGAAAATGAAAATGATTAACTCATTGCTAACTCTGATACTGATTCATTTACTAAATCTTAATAAGACTGGTTGATTAAAACTATCTGTAAACTTGGAGTTAATCATCAATTCTGGCCTGAAATTTCATAAGTCTTAAATAAACCTCTTTAAGAAGTTAAAGCTTATTGGATTAGTCTGCAAGATAATTGGACCAATGAATAAGACAATAAGTTGATTTAATTTCGAAATTAATAGCTAAATTGGTTAGAAATAGCTTTGAGGCTTGATAAGAATAAAATAAATTGTAAACACAGATGGAACAACATTATAGATCCTACTTTATAAAAAACTCCATTCACTATTTAGGATGACATCTTATTACTCTAAAAAGCTATTTAATTAAACTTCGATTGGAAGAAAATATAAAAGATTATATAACCAAAAAGAAGTCAAACAGATCTAATTTCAAGATTTATCAAATTATAATCTGAATATAACAATATTGATAATCTTATCTAAAGAGTTTAATTTGCAATTGATTAATTACCTAAATATGATAAAAATTCTATGCGGATTTTACCTCAATAATCCAGTATAATAGAAAAGACTATAGTAGAATATGAAACACTTTCTATTCTAGATCTTAATTTATTTGATGCTATGTCACTACAATTCTGTCTTGTGAAGCACAATTAGATATTTTTTGTTACTCTTGAATATATGCAATAGTTGGTTAATTTGAAGTTAAATTAAAGAAAACTATTATAATTTATTAAATGATGATTATTACAAAAGATTATTCAATTAAAAACCTTTAAAATTATATTTAATATAAGTATCCTTTCTTTCCTCATACATTTAATCTATTTTAATATGTAATTAATTATATAATTAATAAATTAATATTATAAATTAATGCCTAAAATTTGTACTTATATATTCTTTATAATAAAATGAATATATTTCTAAGGTTAAAATACTTTCAATAAAAACATAGGGTTTTATCAAATTTACAATTTTTATCTATAAAAATATAGAGAATGGCTCAAATTTTAATTAATGATATATATAATTAATTATATTTTATTTTTAGTAATTTCCATTTTTTTCAAAAGTAATACATTTTATTAAGAATTATTGGGTTACAAAGTATTAAAATGAATATACAATTCAAGTTCTTTATCTTAATTTCTAGTTAATAAATTATATAGTTTCATTTTTATTTTTATTTTGTTAAAATTTTTGGATTTGATTATGAATTCATAAATATCTAGATGTCAAAGATTTTATAAAAAAAATAAAAAAATTATTGATCATAGTTAGATACAATGAGTATCCTAAACTTTAAAAAACAAATTTGGCATTCCTGTAATCTCATTAAAATCTTCATTTATGATTCCTATAAAATATTATTTATTATTCAATACCAAAAACAAATGGAGGTTTAATTATGTAACCTTAAGCATTTTAAATATCAACCATCTTTGGTCTATAAGCTGTACTAAACCTTCCTAATCCAATTACATTTTCTGAATACTTAACCTTACTATTAACAATGAATTATGGAATATAAAGATTTTAATCAATTGGAACTTATAATCCACATTAATTTAGAATGGATTAAACTTTTTGCAATGTAATTTCATCATCATCTATAATATATTTAATAATTTACATTCAAATACAAAAATACTTGTACTACTTTAATCTGTAGATATTAAATAAACTTTTATATTTCCTGAATCAGACATAAAAACTTTTGCATTATCAACTTTGGAAGCAGTTTAAAATCCATTATAAATAAGTCTTTGATGTTAAGCTAATTTACAATTTGCCCATCTATAACATTCTTTGCAAAAACTACTTATAACTTTATCTGATGAAAGAGAAACTTCAGAATTTGATGGATTAAGTTAATCAAAACTCTCAAAATATTATTTAATGTAGGCATGAAATTCATCACTTGTATGTTCTTATAATTTAATTCCCTTAAATCCAAATTCCTATTATAATATTATTATTATTATACTGAATTAATTAGATTATCTTTGTGTTAATTAATAGTTTCATCATCTAAATCTATTTTAGTATTAAGAGTTGTCAAACAATATAATGAAGTAAAAGCATCCGTGTTTAATATTGTATTTTTATCACAAGTAAGATAAAGATGTTATAAAAATATTGGATCAAATTATTTAAGTTGATCTATGTCAGAAGGTCTTCTAATGGCTATGATATCTTCATATTTTACCCATTACTGTAAATCTAGTTTCTGAATTAACACTTTGTACAACTTTCCATTTAAATCCTAATTCTTTCAATTTTGTTGTAATTTCCTTATTAGCTTAAAATGAATCATTCTAATTATAATGATACAAAGTCATTCTTATTTCTAAACAAGGATCAATTTCCCATATAAATTTAATAATAACTTTAAGTAATTCTTAGAATTATAATGGATCAACTGTAGAAAAATGACTTAATATCAATCTTCTCTCTTAAAGAGATTAATCTAAATAACATTATCCTAAAGCTAAAAATTAATCTTTTTAATATATTCCTAAACAAAAACTATCATCTTATTGATCATATTAATTTTGCATTAATTATATTTCACCTCTCCATGATTTTTTGAAATCTTCATTAATATTATTTAAATGATCAATAATAATTTAATCACTTAGTTGACATTTCTTTATTTTAAATGTATCATCTTCTTCTGTAATTAAATTTTATTAATCAACTGTAGGTACAGCTGCAAGAATTGAATTTGATTACTTTTTATCAGATTGAGGAGGACTCTATTATGCTTATTATTATTTATTATTTGATTCATTTGGTGTTACTTTAATTGAATTTTATTTTTAAGGTGTAGCACTACCTTATTTATTAAATTATCTTAATGGAATATTTTTTGGAATTAAATTTTATTGTTAATTACTTATATCATTTTGATCTGGTTATTTATATATTATTCTCTATAATTATTAAATTAATTACTTTTTGATTTTAACTTTATTCTTATCTCTTAGGAGGTCTTATGCGTCCTGGATGAATTGATTTTTCTGGACTCATTTTAATTTAATCTTTTGAATTTGCTTAATTATGAATTGATTTATCATCTTTGCAAATTGATAAAGCTTCATCTTATATTATTATTTCACAATTTTTTATTCTCTTTAAAAGAGGTTTAGAAATGAATTAGACTATTTTATTAGGATCATCAGCTGGTTTTGTTATAGCAACAAAGAAAGGATCAGGTTTAATTGAAAATTGATAATAGTTTGATAGTATTGAATTTGTTATGTATTAAATGTCCTTTCTCATCTAAAAAATGATAATATGATATTTATACTTTAATCAAATAATTTTCTCTTAGATATAAATAAGGAAGTGAAATACTTTCATGGGAATGTATATTGACTAAGAATTTCATTAAGTATTATCTCCAACCTAGTATTTATTCTACAACATTTATAGAGAGTATTCTTATATGTGTTATTAATTCTGCACTTTTTTACAATAGTTGTTCATCTCCAGGATTATCCTATATTTATTGAATGTGATTAATCAAGAAGGTTAAACACTTTTCTCTAGCATCAACAGCTTACATACAAAGCTTATTTATTTTTTATATAATACTTATATATGTGATTTCTTTTATTACATTTCTTCTATTTCAAATTGAATTGCTTAATTATTTTTTGGTAGTGTTTGCAGACACATCAAAAATAACTATCTAAATAATATGTATATTTATATTACCTATGAAACTCAGGTATATTGTAATAATCTTAAACTTCAATTAATTTAGATGTATTATGGATCTACTTTGGTTTCTATTTTTCTACGGATTCATTTTTATTTTAATTTTAAACATAAAATCTATTATTCCAATTTTCTTCCTAAATTGAATCATCAAATAATGAATACTTTCTTCTTTAATTAATTCATAACAATTAAATGTCTAGATTTTGTATTTACTACTTGTTCTTGTTTAGATTTTCGCTATTCCAAATATTATGGTTCAAACATAAAAAATATAATAATAATAATAATAATATATTAATATTTTATAACTGTTTAATTAATTACTCTTATCATGTTCACATAAATGTTTTTTATTATGTATTATCATTCAATTATAATATTTTTAAAAATTAACCTTATTTTTTATATGATTATAAATATTTCTTATAGCCATATAAAATCATTTATGAACTAAGATTTTGTGCGTATATTAATTTAAATAATTAAAATGAAGGCAATGTGTCCATTACTTAGACGAGATAGTTTTAGTGAGGAGGAGCAGCTATAATAACACAGTGAGTGTGATTAAGTTGAATTTTAGCTAACCAATAACTGGTGTTAAGCTGAGGCTGACACCGATCCAAATATAATAGATTTAAAAAGCCCCTCAATTAAAAAGAAAAGACAAGGCCGTTACAAGAATGTTCCCTATACCTTTGGTCGACACTTCAGAAATTGGATTGTGGCTGAGGTTGAGTCCATTCGATGTCCAGTTGTTTAAAAATTCATTTCAAAACGTAAGTCTAATCCTAGGTATCATGACAGTTTTAAAGATTTTAATGAATTATTCCAACACTCAGGTATTGGTAGATAACTAGGTTAAATCTTTTTTGGATAAAAGAAATGGGTATAATATTTACTTGGAAATGAAAGAGTAGATGGCTTCTAAATATATTTTGAAGTTGAAAGATCTTATTATGAAGCTGCAATAAAAGGAACTAAAATCACTGAACAAAAGGTGAGAAATATTTGATAAACTTTTTTATATTAATTTTGGTTGTACATTCTTTAATGTATTATATTATAATAATGAATTATATATTTCTTATTTATATTTCAATATTTTTTTAATTATTCATATAATTAATTATAAGAGATTGATTCAATCATAAATTTAATGTAAAATAATTTAAACATTATATCAATCCTCTAAATGGACAATATAAATGATTTAGAATATATATATATAAATATAATATTAATAGATTTAGTTATATCATTAGTTATATAAGGATTTTCTAGAACTTAATACTTAAGAATATGGTTCTGATCTAGCACTTATTGTAGTTACTCTTATTGATTATTTAGTTTCTTTATTTTAATTTATTTAATTCTTAATTGTTTATAATGGTATTCTCTTGCAACTATGACCAGAATTTTGCTTAGAATCATTCACATGAAAATATTCTGTTTATTGAGAGTGTGAAGATACAAATTTACTTTTCTGATTTTCTTCTTATATGTTTTCTATTTCTAAAACTGAAGGATTATTTCTAAATGTTTAAAGTTAATCAATTTATAATGGAAATAATTTATTTTCATTTTCCTAATATTTATTTACAACATCATACAATAATTTTTTAGCTTCAATATTTTATTAATCACTTATATATATATAATAATTTGATTACTTTTAAATTATCTCAATTTCTTTCTGGATATCAAATTCTACTTCCAAAAATGTTTAATCCTTATCATCCTTTTCTTGAATTGATTAAGGTATCTAAGAAATACTATTCTATGTCCAAGTGTTTAAGATTTCAAATTAACACTATTACAAATAAGGTATAGGAACTCTTTATTGTATTGTATTTTATTAAAGTGATTAAAATGTTTATTCAGCCAATATTTTATATATTTCAATATCTCCATGTTATTTCTTTTTTATTTCAATACACTTTCCATTTTGAAATATTCCTTAAATCATCTTCATTTCACCCTATTACATATTTAACAAATTTACACTAATGAAAAAACAACCTAAACCATCATATTTATTATCTTTAAAACCCCCAGTATAAATATCACCATTCATCCAAATCTAACCGATATTTGTTATATTTTAATCATGAAAAATTCCTATCCTTTTTTCAGTTGTAAACATATTCTCTATACCTAATCCTAATTATTTTCCTCTTTTCATTCTACCAAGATATGTTTCTGTTATTCCAATAGAAGTACATTAATTTCTATCTAAAATTTCTTCTAAATCCAATAACCTATTTTAAAATTCATCTAAACTTGAATACTAAAACATACCTAATAAAACATCAACAGATTCTAAATTAGTATCTATTTTAATTAAATCTCCTCTCCTATATTAAGAGACTGTTTATCCCTTCAAACATTTTCCATTTAATTATCCATACTCAAATCTATAAAATTCACTTTAACTAGAACTATAGAATTAAATAATATACGTATAATTAACACATAAACCATGAAATTTATTATTTTTGAATTATGCTCTTATGATATTGTCATTGATCATTATAATCCCTTCACCATGAATCATATCCTTGTACCATTCACCAATATAAATAGATCCGGTAGGCCACCAAAAGATTCCTATTCCTTCTTTAATACCATTTTGCAAGGTCCCCTAATAAATTCCATTTCGATATGCAATCATTTAATTAATATTACTGTTAAATTTTTATTATAAATTTTAAAAATAAACTCAATCTACAAATTTACACACAACCCCTTATGAAACAATCTTATTCAATTATAAATTATGTATTTAAGTCTAATACTGAATCTATTATCTAATAAAAACAATTCAATCCAAATTTCTCTAATATAGATATAAATTATGTATATGAACATCTTTATTAACATCATTATATGTAATAATTTATGAAATACAATTTTTATATGAATTTAATGAATATCTTATAAAAATGTATTATCTTATAATATATAATTTTTACTACATTAATATATTTTAATTAATTATTATTAAAATTTTAACTTAATTAGTTATATATATATATATATATTTTTCAAGAGTCGAATACATTCTAGATAAGTTATGGATCATCGACTTCAGTCACATCTGCTGACTATTTTTCTTACTATTCTTAAAACATAAATTATTTATTATCAACATGCTCAGGAGTACTTTAATTTTAATTGGTCCCTTTCCAATCGATTTCAAATCGAGTTATACGGGGTTTATTATTGAAGATTTAACGTGAAATATCTTCTATAATAATTTCAGGGGGATCGTTCTCTATATTCTCTTAAGAGGTGTAGGTAGTGTAAACATAGTAACCTGCTCTAAAGAATTCCTTTTCTCTGTAGGAACAAGTGAGAATGAAGGCTGTAATACCCAGTAATTCGTTTTGGGGTATTTTTTTCCAATCAGGAGGATTACATTCTAAAGTAAAATGTTTAGCTCCCACTTAAAGAGGTCCCATTGAGAACTAATCAAGTATTTAATCATGTGACTCATCTTTAGGTGAACCTATAAAGAGAAGCCTACAATTAAAATAATAATGTACATCCATTCGATTTCATCTTCAATGTCAACCAAGACATCAAAGTAGATGTCAATTATAATAGGACTTTAGAATGGTTAGGGCTTATCATCTATGACTATGTTGGTTATGTTAACTAAAGACATTAAACTTTTAAATTAATTATTTAATGAAGAAAATAGAGGAAAAATATTAATTTCAAAAAGGTACATTGTTTTCATATTCTGTTTCATTTCTACAAAATTTATTTTTTACTTCTCAAATCCAAACACCTTAGGTTCCTTTTTTCTAAGTGAATTACAATTGAAATGTAATATTTTAAAGCTGTTCCCTTCAAAAATACATTACCTACTGTTATTAATAAATGAGTAGTTGAAATTGTTAAATTCCTTTTTTTAATGATTTTAGATATCAGTATGAACATACGAATATTTATCACTTTATACAATATCAAAATCAGTAAATTTAACATGATTAAGACTTATATTTTTGTAAGCAATTATTCAATCCAAATAAATACTATATATTTTTTATATTGATTAAAACAATTTGCATAGAATAATAAACATTGATAGTTTATGCCTCTTTTTTTTGCATAAAAACATTACTATTTTAAGAGTAAGGAGTACAAAAAATGAATTAAAAAATATAAAGGTATCAATTTAGTTTTACTTTTTTGCTTTAGACAATCTTGTTCTAATCAATCCAGTGAACTTATTAATAAAAATAATAAGGAATTGAATGGTATTCATGTAATTTAGTATATTAAAAAAATAAATTAAAGTCTTAATAATTTTGATTCAAACTTTAATCTGAGGAAGAGTAAAGTAGATAAGACTTTGTTGTATAAATATTTTGTTATTATTATTATTATTATTTTATTATAAGGATCAGAAATCCTCTCTATCTAATATTCTGTTACATTCAGCCAGAACCTTATTTCTTTCTTTTCCAAGATAATATGTTTCACCCAAATTGCACATATCAAAGTATTTTTTATTGTGTTTCAAAAATTTAATTGGTTGAAAGTAAAGATAAGCAATTGGCCAAACAACAAAATAAGGAGCCCATGAAAATCTCTTAGTCTAAAACATTCTGACCATAGAAACAGCTGCAGCACATGCCCAACCATCAACAATAGAGGAATAAGTCACATCATAACGATACCTAAGTTAATAAATGTAAATTATTACTCTCTTCTAACAACATATCCCCAATCTCTTTCCTCTTATGTTTTGTAAAAATTAGTGTCAAAGTCAGCAATAAATTTCTAAACAAATGCCTTTCTCAATTTAGCAGCTTGCATCTCTTCAGCTGTATATCCACGCTCGTATTCCATTTCTTCTTTGGCATTCACATATCTACGAATTGCTCTAGACATTTTATTTAATTAATATATTAATCTAAAGATATGGATAAAGCAAAATCATCATAAAAAGCAACATAAAAAGTAGAATACAATTCAAAATATTTATCAATAAAATATAGAATTCTAATATGACTTTCTAATTGGGTTTAACAATAGAAATCAAATCTAGAATTCTATAAATATAATTCATTATTTTTAAAAAGACTATATTGAATAAGTAGATATGAGAAAGTAATCGAAACAAAGATACCAGAATGTTATAATAGACAATTTTTAATAATTGATCATATTACCAAAAAATAATATTAATTCCAGAATTCATTCAATTTTTACTTAAAACTTTTAGATTGATGATCTATATCATATTTTAATTAAAGACTTCAATATTAAGGATGAATTATATACTGCTGCCAATTCAAAGAGTAAATAATTCAATATTAAATAAGTGTAATTATAGAGATCCAATAAATTTAATATCATTTTTGAATTAAAAAAGTCTTAATAATCGAAACAATAGATAGGAAGCCAATCATAAATAATCTAGAAGGAGAATTTGTTAATCTTAAGATGAATATCTCATATCAATAAAAATTATTGTGGCTTACCACATAAGATATAAATAACAATAAGTAAGTATTACATGTCCATAATCTTAGTACAATTATAATAGAATTTCTATAAAATCATTTGAATAAATTAATTTAAGCTATTCTGACAAAAATATTAAATTCTACTTTCTAATTTGATCCAGTTGTCATAGAACTTAATCAAATGATTGTAAAGTCTCTCTTATAAAGTAAATTGTTATTGATAAATTCTGGATAGATTAAATGTTTGCTATAAATTATGTCTCATATATCAATAAAATCAATTAATTCATTTAATCTACTGAAATGAAAATAAAAAAGTTCAAATCACATCCCAAGGCTGAATTTAATTTATTTTAACATACTTTGTCCGAATAATAAAGCATTTTTATTTTCATATCTTAATATTATCTATATTATACTTGACAATTTATGTGAAAATAACTAGAAGTTCAAGAGAAATAATGAATAAGATGATTTTAATTTTATTCAATTCAAAATTATTTTTATGATTTTACAAATCAAAAATGTCTTCTTAGTTTTAATTTAAAGAAAAAAGAAATTTTGTTTAAAACAATAAATATATAATAAAAATTCATTTTACAATCTTCAATATACTCATTATTTTTCTAATGATAGAAAGTAATTATCTAGAAACTCTTTAAAAATAGATTTGATTTAATAATTTAGAATAATAGAAATTTATTAGAAGATTCTTGAAGATACTTTTTGTAGATTATAATCTCAGTAAAATATAATTATTTTTATAATATCATATTTCTTAAACAATTAATCAATTTGTAATTATGAATTATCTTTTATCAAACTAAAATGAATAGATTCTACAAATACTAAAAAATGCTATATGATATATATAATTCCTATTACAGTGGTGCATATTGCAACTGATAAACCATAATCATGCAAATTCATATGTTTTGCTGTTTTACTATTTTCCGCAAATAACCATAACGCTAGACTAAAAAATTAATATTCCATACAATAAACAAAATAGACCTCTTCCAAATTAATTGCATGCAAAATAGAACTTTTCAACCATTACTAATCTTTTTGTTTCACCCAACAATAGTAAAACATCCATAATCCTAATGAATCGTATTATATAATACATCAAATTAATATTGGTCATAATTGAGTTTAAATTATAAATTTCCTATTTCAAGCAATGAATAATGGACCAAATACAAAAAATGAGAATTAATATAAAATCAAGCATAGTGGCTAACTTTGAAACGAAACCAACATCAATTTCCATTGAATATATTTATTAAAGTGAATAAATTAATAAAAATTACAACTGAAAAATCTATTATAAAATAAAATTAATATCTCTAATCTTACTTAATTTATGGATAAAATACTTGATTTTCATAAAATAATGAATCATATAATGATAATAAAATTATATCAGTTAATATATAAATCATATTTATTATGATATATAGGTAAAATTGTTCAATCATTTTGATCATCATTTTCCTCTGCAATTTCTTCAGGATATTCACCTTCTCCTTCCTCTCCTTCTTCATTCAATTATTCTGGGTCAATTCCAAATAGATGTAAATTTTACTAAATTTTTGTAATATATTACACTAAAGATTTCTCTAAATTGATTATTTTCATTTGCAAGTTTTTCTACTTCCTCTTATAATTGTTATTTTTCATCACTTAAATTTTAATATAGAGGTTTAAAATTTTCTATCAATTCTAAAAATAATGGTTATTTCTAAAAAAATACCTTCTAATCTTCTACAATCCTCATCTTTTGCTTCAAGTTATTGTTGTAAATTCTAAATCATTTAATCTTTATCATTATCTTAACTCTTTGATAATTTCTTATTTGATGAGAATTAATTTCTTGTATTTCTACTATTATTTGCTTATTCCTCTTGAATTTATTGAATTGCTTCTTACATATCTTGTAATTACTATTGATATTATTCAATAATTTAATCTTTCATATCTGACTCTTATTATAATTCTTCTATTTTATTTTATATTTCCTCCTAATATACTATTTATATTATTAATTACTAAATTAAATTCTTATGTTATTTATTCTAACTATTATTCTTTTTCATTATAAGCTTACTCAAGTTCATTAAGTTAGGATTCATATTATTGTCTAACTTTATTGATTTCCTCTTATTAATGTCTATTAGCTTAGTTTAATTTTTAATTTAAATTTTTATTTTCATCTTATAATTATTAGATTTTTTATTTATCTTCTCTATGTTTTGATTCATAATCTTATTCTAGCTTAGACCTATTATATATAACAATTATTATTTTACAATCTCTTTTAGAAATCCTTTTCTCTATCTTTTGCCATATTTAATTCAGCCTTTAATCTTTCAGTTTATTATTATTCATCTTTCAATTAATTCATTATTGATTAACTGGCTCTATCCATTTCTTAAGGCTTTTGATTAGAAGTATACTATTTTTTATCAAAACCTGAATATTGCTAATCATATCTTTTATCATGACTATCAACTTTTTTATCCAAATAATCATGTTTCTTATCAGGATATTCTGGTTTCCTATTAACATCAATAGTTTTAGAATAATCAGGTTTTCTTGTTTCACTTGATAAATAATCCTTTGTTGGCGGTTGGGCTTTAAATTCATTCTTTTTAATTTAATTTGATTATTCGAGTTTAGAGGGAGCTGGTGCAAAATTCTAATTCTTTTGATACATTTCTATTTTAAACAAATAATTTTACCTTAATATGGAATAATTTCTGTTTTGTGTTATTAATCGATTGGACCTGTGCGATTATGAATTTACGAATCACAGGAATAACATAGTCTATAAGTTTGACCATAACGACATTAAGAACATTTTATAGTAGCTGGTCTTTGTTGACATTTCTAACACTTTACAAATAGAGATTGCATATTTGAATTTATGTTTATGTATTAAATTTTATTTGAATTTTTTATAAATACAGAAATACATATAAATAAATTATATTTATTCTTTTTAATATTTTATATAACATCAAGCCCAAACTTGACCTCTAAATTGTATAGCTCTAGAGTTCTTCCATCCTTTTTTAAAATGATTGTAATAAACACCATCTCTGACAGCATACATTTCCCATCTAAAATTTCATATATTTCATTAAATACCTAAGAGAGAGATTATTTCTATAAAATCCTCTAGTCTTTAAATAAGCAAAAGGATAAATCAAAGCAACTCCAGTCAAAAACATATAATATCTCACAGTCTTATCTGGTCTTTGGAAACCACTTCTTCTTTAAACAAATTAAATAAAGTTTGTGACATCAAAGGCCATTTAAGGAGTAGATGCTGGAGTGCCATCTTCATAATCAACAAGACCTAATCAAATTTTTATCTTTATTCATACCATCATGTAATTATCTAACCATACCTATAATCATATGATCAAAATAAGGATTATATGCCTTTCCTTTAGGAACATCCAATCCTTAATAAGGCTTGTAATGGTAACCAGTCAAAATATTGTAAATGTAATTGACACCTCCTGGTCTGAGTCTGATTTTTGAGAAATCTGTTGGCCAAACTCCACCATTAGCGTTTTTAGCTTAGTCTTATGAAAAGTAAGGAGGGTAGATTCCTAAAATAATGAATAAAAAGTGAATGAGTACTGTCATGAATATATCTATCTCTTTCATCCCATTCTTAATAGTAAAATTGCTTGAAATGATGATGAGCAGGATGAATTGTGAAATTACTGACCAAAGCTGCCAATTCTAATTACTTATAGACTTTATCCAATAAAACATCATATTTCTTATACACTATTCCATGACAATTGCCACAATTTCTAGAGAAAACAAGAAATCTAAAGAATCACTATGTTTCATACCCTCTTCTTACACTTGCAGAATCAAAAGTACCCAAAAATCTATATTATGGCCATGACATATGACCTCTATGAGTACCTACTTCTGTCACCTGCTCTTCATAACCCTTGATACCCCAGAAGGCACCAATATCATCTCTATAAAGCCAGGCATGTACAGTGTTGTCTTATTAGGTGACCAACATTCCTACTCCTAAACAAAAAAGAGCCTTCATTTTAAAAATATTTAATATCTAATAAGTAATATCTCTATTTATATATAATGTACTTAAACAACATTTATAATAACCTCATTTCTTGGCTTGGGCTTTAGGTTGAACTTTTTAAGTTGGTTATGGAGCAGTTTTGGCTGGGACAGTCTTAGCTGGTGCTTAAACTGGTGCCTTCTTAGCATCTTTGACTGGAGCAACTTATTTAACTGGAGCAGCTTATTTTGTTTGCTTTGGTTACTAATGAATATTGAATAAATAATCTTACAGTTGCTTATTTAGTCTATTCTTTGATTTCAGAAGAAGCCTTTCTGTGTTTCTTATGAGCTTCATGTACATCATGAGCCAACTTTTTATATGCTTCCAAAGCTTATTTTGCTTTGGTTCTTCTAGCTTATTCAGTCTTCTTTTGAATAGTCTTTCTTCTCAATCTTGATTCAGTAACAAGTCTTTATATTTTTGGAGCCTTTTATCTCTTTTTTCCATCCTTTGTTGTCCATGTTCTTCTAATGAGATTCTTTTAAACAATAGCAACACCATCAGTCTTTTTGAATCCAAATAATCTTCTCAATTTAGTTAATCTCTTTGGACCTAATCTTCTTGGAACATTTTGATCTGTAAGTCCAGCAATTTCATTTGCTCCCTTCTTGACTACTTATAAGGCAAGGACTCTAATGTCTTAACCAACAATGCATCCTCTAATTGATTTTCTTTTCATTTCACCATCTTTTCTTGGTCTATAACCTTTGTGACCCTTTCTCATGAGAATTCTAACTCTGCCCTTAAATAAGACACCTTGTCTCATTGGAAATCCTTATTTATCATTACCACCTGTGATTTTAAATACATATCCTTTGTATTCATCACCTAGATTGTCAGCTTCAACAACTTGACCCATTCTCTTATCAAAAAAGATTGAGCTAAAATTTATATATAAAATGTTGTTACCATTTCTTGTCATCATCAATTTCGACTGTCTTTTGAGCTCCTGTCAAGGGATAAGAAATGTTAAACTATATAAAATAGTTTCAATAGTTACCTTCATTAAAATCTTTGGATTTTTTTAAAAATTAGATTTAAAAATGAATGTGAGGCATATTAATAAAATATATGAGTGAATAAACCAATCAAAACTTACCATCTATTTAACCACTTGAGTTAGATTTAAATGACACCCCTAATCCAAAGTTCACAGAAAATAGTACATAAAGAAAGGAAATTAAATCTACAGTTTCTTAAGCAGCACTTAACTTATACAAATGTTGTATAGGTTCTGGTATTTTGGCAGCACCTTATACTTTCTGTGAAGGAGGTTATTTACTCACTTCTTTCTGTTACTTTTTGATCTGTATCCTCATGATCTACTCATAATTAGTATCTATGCACCTAATTTGTAGATGTTATTGAGAATTGTGGATGAAATCAATTAACCCAATTTAGGTTTCTCTGAAATCACTCGCATAATCTTAGGTGAAAATTACGTATACTTAAACAAATTATTCATAATTGTCATGTAATGGGGATGTTGTGCATCATATGTTTTATTTTTTATGGAATTCTTAGAATATGCAATATACCATCATTAAGATGTAGTATTTTCTCATCAATTAATCTATTTATCAATTGCTATGTGCATCATCATTCCATTAGTTTTCATTAACAACATGACTTTATTCACTAAATTTAGCACAATTGCAAATGTAACATTTAATAGTAATCAAGAGTCTTATCGTAATTTCTCTAATTGCCTGTATTGTTTACTTTAACATTGAACTTGTCAAGGAGGTCAATTATAATGATATTCCAGTTGCTAGATTTAGCAATCTCCCATTAGTTATAGGAGTGGCTCTTTTTTCTTTTGAGGCCATAGGAACACTATTGGATGTCAGAAAATCAATGTAGGAACCAGTAAAATTCCCAAAAATAATGACTTTGGTGTTTTCTGGTTGTACAATGTAATTCTGGATTTTTGGACTTCTTGGATCATTAAGTTATGGAGATACAACAAATGAAATTATATTGTTCTCTTTGGGAGATGGTGCTGAGGCATTTCAAATTCTCTATGCTATTGCTTTGATAATTACTTTGCCTTTATAATTATTGCCAGCTTTTCACTTGATTGAAAGGATTAAAATTGCAAAGAACTTTACTCAAGAAGGAACTAAAGGTTATTTATTTAGAAGAACTATCTTAAGATTACTTTAAGTTCTAGCCATAGCAGGATTAGCCATAGGCATTCCTTAATTTGCTCTTTTGATTTCTTTTATTGGAGGATTATGTGGAGCTGTTCTTTAATTTTTTTTTCCTTTAATGTTCTATCTCAAATGGAATTGGCGATATAAACCATCAGAATTGGAAGGCTAAATTTATGTTTGTGCAATGACTTTAGGTTGTATTCTAGGTTTGGTAGCAGTAGCAGATTCTATATACGAAATAGCCACTTAGTGAATATATTTCTATATTGACATATATGTATACAAAATATTTCTTATTATTTTTAAACTTTGTTGAATTAGAGAAAATAAAAAATCAAAATTTTATTTATATTACAGAATAACAGTTTATATTTTGTATTTGAATTTGTAAATAAATAGTTTATTATGTTTAATCATAAATCAAAAAGACCATCGTTATTGTATATTGAATGCAAATCAAGAGATTTATCAAGAAGGAACTCACGAGCAAGTGATATTTTTGATGATACTATAAATAAATAGAATATCCAATAATATTAGAGATAATTATCAACCACAACTAAAAAGAGTGTTATTCCTTCTTTGAATAATATGTACAAGCAGGCCATATTTGATTAATAAATCTTATAGGATTAGACTTAAATGCTGATTGAAGATTTGAATGGTAAATTGTTACAAAGGGCAGAATTAATTGGTTAGGTTGAGGAATTAGAGGAATTAATAGATTATCATAAGAAACATAGTTGTTTTGAAATAGCATTTGTAATTCGAATTGAAAAGTTAGAAATGCATATTCAACAATAATAAAAATACTCCAGAAATACAGCCGAATTATTAAGATAAAAAGAACTCTATTATGATGAATTGAATAAAATAGTTAATTAAGAGGCTTTAAATGCCTTAGGAATGTACTTGAAACAATGGGGTACATTATTAATTATAATTTTTGAAAGGACAACAATTTGATCTGATTCAAAATAATTATGGACCTGAAACATATCAATAATTGATTGCTGAAAAAAAATAGGAATTTATTTAAAATATGACAGTTTTATATGATAAGAAAATAAAAGGAATTATATAATTATTCAGAAATTATTAATAAATAGATAAATCAATAAAAAATAACATAGAATTTGTTGATAATAATTTAAATCAAGAATTATATAATGTTAAATAAGCAATTAAATAAAATTAAGAATTAATATAGAAAATACTTAGAATTCATTTAGAAGAAGGTATATCATCAAATTTAAATGAGAAGATGTAAAATTTAGAATTGAAGAATATACGATTAGCATAATAATTAAATGAAATTGCTCGTAATTAAACATTTACACAAGATAAAATTAAAACTAAGAAAGAAACTGAAGAATTTTATAATGGTAATTTAACAGGATTTGGTGATATATCATAAATTGAATATGATGAATATCAAAATGAAAGATCTAATTCTTAATAGAAATAAAGAGATTATAAAGGATACAATAATAATTATAGTTAAACATAAAGTTTTTTCAATTATCATACAAATCAAGAAACATAATCCAAGTTAAATTAGTTATAATAAATTAAAAATTTAGAAATGGATACTAAATACTCTGATGGATAATGTACTTCTGAAGATTCAACATTACAACACTTTTAAGAGATAAATTTGGCATTAATTTAATCAGGAAAATCTATTGATGGTTACACTATGAAGTTATAACCATAATAATCATTAGTTATTTAAGATAATTTATCATCATAATAAAATCTATTTTTTAGATTATAAACTATAACTGAAGAATAGTTAAGTTCTAAAAGAAATAGATAGAAAATTGATCCAAAATAAAAAATAGATACAAATTCTGTAAATATAAATATGAAGAACATTTTAAATTTAAAAACTATTAAATAAATAGATAATTCTTCTTAAAACATAGGTATTCCTTTAACTGACTAAACAAAAAGATTTTCAAATAATGAAATTTAATCATAAGATTAATTCAAAAATTAGATTGAAATTAATTCAAAATAAAATAGGATACCATCTTAAAATGGTTCTTTATTTTTTAGTAATCAAGTATCAATTCCTTCATCAAATTAAAAAAATAAAAATGATTAATTTTTTAAATCAAAAGATTCTTTATCTGAAAAATTATCAAAATAAAAAAAATCCAAATCATTTGATTCAACTTCTAATAAAGAACAATTAAAATCATTTATTACCAATACATCAACTAATAATGGATAATCAAAAGAAATATAAAAAGTTTAGAATACTATAAATTAATTAATACCAATAGAATAAGAAATTCTGAAAATACTTAAACCTTTATAGAAAGGATAGCAAATATACAAAAGGTTTTCAACTAGTAAACCTAATTTAACAAAATAAGAATTTGATCCTTTTACTTGTTAAAATCCAGCAAATTGTGGATTTTGTCCAAGAATCATTTGTTTATCTAAAAATTTGGATAGCATTGAATTTAAAAATTAAATGAGAGTAAATGTAAAGTTATGTTTATTACTTAGCAAGTTGATGCTACAATAAAGTTAGATGAAATCATTAGAGCAATGATTCCAAGTCCTATTCAATAATCAATATAAGTAAAGAAACAAATTTAATGCAAATATATTTTGAGTAAATAAGAAAGTGCAGTTAGTAAGATTTTATTTTGGCCAATGTCTCTTATAACTTAAAATGATGGAAGAATTGAATTGCTCTTTAGTAGTGAATAAGTATTAGAATAGTGGTAGGCAAATCTACTCTTTTTAAAAGATAATATAAAGACTCTTCAAACTATCAATAAAAAAATAAATTAATGATTATGAAATGAATTTAGTAAATGAATTATCAAATTTTTTTAATTGATTATTAAATATATCCAAATAAACAAAGATGCCAATCTATAATGAAGTTTGGGAAGAAGAAGGTACACTTAACTCTTAAATATTAGATTTTATGTTTAGAAACATGATTAATTTATAAACATTAACAAAAAATCATGTGAAGTTGTTAGATAATCTCAAATTTGAGTTTGTCGAATATAAAGTAATCATATATTAAATGATAGGCCAATCAATTATTAGCTTGTCATCTTTATGATAGAATGGCTTAACATTGCAAGAATCAATTTGGTCTATTTGAGGACTCATATGTACCAGAATGTTTAGATGCTAGAAATTATTTCTAATTATGTGTAAGAATGAATGCCTCTTATGGCTTAGCCAAAAAGTATTTCCCAGAGTAATCACATTAGATTATTTTAGATATTTCTTAACAAATGAATACTCAAGACCAAATCCAAATTTTAAAGAATTAGGACTTTGATCCATTCAATATATAAAAAAATATATTTATTAGTATAGAAAGTCTTGATTCTTTTATTATTCCTTATATATTATTAATTATAGTAATATCTTAAAAGAGAATAAAAGATACTAATAAGATTTAAGTTTAAAAATTTCATAAATGGAGTCAATTAAGTAAAAACTATTAAATAAGAATCTTCATTCTTTTTTTTAATTCTTAGATTAAATTACTTTCTACAATATCATTGTGATAATTGTTGGAAGTAGGTTAATAAAAACTAAAATTTGATTTACAAGATAGTAGACTATAATTTCTTTACTAAAATGAATAATAAATCTATTATTTATTTATAAAATAATTTTAATCTTCTATTATTAAAGCTTTAACAATGTAATATATACTAATATTCATTAAAATTTCTATTAGTCATCTAATTGAAACTCAGTTCTTTATCCATTATTTTAGTTATAATTAGTTTAATATTTTATAAAAAATAATGTGAGCAAAATTATTAATGGAATTGATACCTATAAGACAAGTATTTCTTACTAATAAAGAGTAGATTTTTCATATTTAAAACATCTGTCTTCATAGTAATTCTAAATAGTAATAAAATTTTCTTCAAAATTGAATTACATTTTCTTATTCTCAAAGAACTATTTTCCTAGAACTATAGTTTAAGATGAGTTGAAACTACAAATCTTAATGAATTTATCTCCATTTTAAAACTCATATATATATTTTTCTTGCGAATAAATTATTGGATTTTATTCATTATCTTTATTGAAAAACTGAAAGTCAAGATTTGAATCTAATTTAGTACTAATATTGATATTTTTTCTAAAATAAAATGAAACATTATCTTATTAAAAAGGCATAAATCCTGCTTTGGAAAATTCTGATGATAAAATATTTACAATCCAAATTGGCAAAAAATTCATATTTTAATATTCTTTTATGGAGAAGTGCCTATTCTTATAATCTTAAGAGTCAGGGTCGATATTGGAAAATAAATTAACATATTCTTAATCTTTTCCTATAAAAAAATATATAACACATGATGATATATCAACCACAGTATCTCCTAACTTTAAGTAGTTTATTTTAATATGATTTAACCCATTTAATGATAAAATTGGTGATAATAATACTTGTTATTGAGGGATATCTTTCATTTTAATTTAAAATTGTGTCTCTAATGTTATATCTATTTAACCTTAACATAATTAAAAACCATCATCAATAAAAGAATTCAAATATTATTATCCAAGCTTTGCCAAGGATAATTTAGAAATAGGTTTATTTTTATTTTAATCATTAAAATATGTTAAATGTTATAAAACAATTTATTAAGTGTCCAAATCATACATTTTAATATTAGAATGATCAAGTTCTGTATTACCTAAATAACACTGACGTCGATTACAATCCTTACAATTTTCTGTACACTTTGATATTTAAATTTAATTCAATTCACTAATTTACCTATCAAAATCATAATTTATTTCAAATTAAAATCCATTCATAGTTTCCATTAACAGAGTACCATTCTTTTCTTTTATTTCAAATATCTTTGAATAAATAATTTAAGGCAAATTGAAAATGATGAATAAGATTCTTATAATCATTTTATAAATAATATTTATATAGCTATATAATATAAATCATCTAATATTTTTGTTTAAGCTTTTTGATAAAGTTTCTTGAATTCTTTTATTTAAATTAATAAGTTTTTAGTCAACTGAATCAGTAGTCTTAATTGTAGTATTATTATTGATAGAACTTGTAAATTTATTATTATTATTATTATTATTATTATTATTATTATTATTATTATTATTATTATTATTAACAATCTCCCTATTTTCTTAACTTAATGTTATTTAGTCATAGGCTTTATATGCTTATTGCTATTATTGTTATTGTAACTATTATTGTAACTAAAATGATGAATTCAAAATTGATGATTTATTAGACAAACCAAGATCTAAATTAGTAAATTGCATGTCCTTTAAATTGCCTAATAATTATTACATCTCTAACCAATCTGGTCTTTAATTAAAATCAATGAGAAGCATCTTTTTGAGTATTTAATCAACTCTCCCAGGATATAGTGTTCTCAATTAATCAAAACAATCGTTTAAAGAAATAACACTTATACCTCCTGTTTCAAAGAGATAATCACAGTTTTTTAGAAGACATAGAGATAATATGATCATACTAATAGATATAAAAATAATTATTTACCCTAATCCAAATACATCCTACTTAAATCTATTTACTCTAAGATTACCTTCTGATTCTGGTGATTTGAATTAATTTTCAAATAAATGAGGTGCTCTAGCTCTGAAAGGACTTACATCTTAAATTCTATAAAGTAAATATTCTTCATCAAAGTAAACTGATTCTAATGTCAAGGCAGAATGAGTGATTCCTCTTTTTTGGAGAAATACAAAAGCCTCACATAATCCAGAAATCATTTTCCATATTTCTTCTTCAGGTACATATTCCTATGTTTTTGATCTTTTCTCAATTAATTATTTAATATCCAAAGGAAGGTATTCATAGAAGATTTTGAGTTGTCTACTTTGACTAAATTTGTCACTTTATTCTTCAAAGAAGAGAAAAGAGACTAGATTTGGGTGTTTCCATTTAGTTCTTTCTTATATAGCACTAACTTCTTCAGGACCAACAGCATTAGTCCAACAACACAAATATTTGGCAAAAGGATCCAATCTATAGATGGAGGATGTGGGAGAGATATCAATAACATGATTAATGGAAGTGTATGCTGTGATCATATAATCCTTTGGATTTTCATTAGGTTATCGTGGTCTTGGTTCATTCTACACGACTGGGTTATATGATTGAGTAATTTTATGTAAAGGGTAGGGTTATTGTCTTTGAGCAACACAATATTCTGGGTACATATAATAAATTTCTGTTAAAAATAAAATCAAGTATAAAATAGTTTAAATTGAGAAATTTTCTATTTAAATAAAAGAACCTAACAAACTTTATTATGAATGATTGATTATACAAGTTATAGATTATGTTAGGAAAGCTAAATGTAATGTATTAATCAATGATCTAATTGCTAGAAGGAGAGTGGAAAATATTTTTTTGTTACAAATTTAATCAACAAATCAAGATACAGATTTAATAATATATAATTATAATGATTTGATTATTATTGAAATATTATTTTGAAAATTACTTAAGTATTGGTAAAGAAAAAAAACTTCTTGGAAAATTAATCAAATAGAACTAAGCTTATCAATTGAAAATCAAACAAAATTATATACAACTCAGTTAAATAAGTTCATTAGAAAGAATCATATGTCCAAAAATCAATTTATAAATAAGAGCCTATTGACCAGAACAAAAACAAATTAGAGAAACTAAGGATTAGAAAAGATGTTAGTGATAAAATATAAGAAATTATACAAGTGAATATTATAATTAATTAATGAATCCTAGGAGAGCTTAATCAAGTGGAAATAGAGCTTCGTCTGCTGTAAAACGAGTTGCTATGCCGAATGGGTACACATTGTACAATTAGAGTGGGCAGAAATTTCATTTGCCCAATATGAAGAAGTACTGCAGTTATATGAATGTAAAAGTGCATCACAACGTTCTATCGAAGAGGCAGAGAATAGGGCAAAAACATCAACATTATAGCCAATGCATAGCGAAGTATAGACAATAGTTCATCAAAGACCATAGAGTACAATAGAAGTAAAATAAATTTGAAAATGATTTAGACTCCTGCAGTGATGATGAATAAGTACATCAATTACAGAATAGCATAACCATATTCATGCACAGTGGATGTGAATGCACGTTTATGGGAAGCAAGTAAAAACACAACTATAGGATTAAAAAGAGTTTCATCAGCTGTCAAGAAAGAAGAGACTGAATATTAATAAGATTGTGAAACGATTAGTGGTACATTAAAACCATATGAATTTCTATCATCTCTTGGAGGTAAGATGATTTCAAATGAACCCTCCAAATAATAATCAATTGATGTTTCTAGATAAAATAATGCACAATAACCTCGTCCCTAAACTGTGACATCCATAGGAAAGATGGATTTTACAATTATTTAAGAATAATAATAAAGACTATAATCTGCTCAATAAACATTATCAAGACCTCCAATTTCTAAAAGACCCATGACATCTATTTAAAGACCTCAATCTTAAGCTTTTGAAGTTACAGAAAGCAAAAGAGTTAAATAAGATCGTATTTAAAGTGCTACTCTTGATGTATTTCAAAAACCTAATCAAAAACATAAAAAATAAATCACAGATATGATTGATTAATAAGTTATAAGACCCTAAAGTAATTGGAGTCATTAAAGACCTCTATCTTCAAAAACAACTGCACCATAATCTTTCTTTAAAATATATACTAAATTCACTAATGTTAGTGCACTTGATTTACCATATGAAGAACTTTTTGATAGAAATGAAAGAACTGTTGCAGCTACATTTGCAAGATTTGGAGATCTAGGCTATTATTCACCAATTTAAAGAATTGGAGTGTATATGTAATTTTCAGCAAAGTTGAAAAGAGAACATTTACTAAAAATAATAGATTTATAAAAAACAATGAGTTCTGCTGAAAAAACAGATGGAGAAGTTCCTATATAATTAGCTATTGTAAATGAATTATTTCCAAAATAAGGAAGAGACAAAACAGGTATTAATTCAGGAGCTAATGATGCTTTGACTAGAGAACCAGTATCTTTATGTTTATATCCTGAATATTTTGATGACAATGATGAAAATATAGATCAAATGGAATTGTCTCTTAGAAAATTCAATGAAATGTTAGCTGAAATGAATGGCAATTATGATCCATCACTATTATGCAAAGACTATTACATTCACATTGATAGAGAATTCTGGCCAGAAAACATACTTAAAGAAGTACTAATATCAGAAGAAAGATATCGTAATTATATATCTGGAGATCATATAAGAAATGATGAAGTTCCAAAATTCAAAAGAGA